TTGCATGAAAAAGAATGCGCTATGCTGGCGCAGTGAGAGTGGATCATATATATATGTATAGTCTTAGCAGGTCAGTTGTGTGGGGACCTTGAGCTAGCAACTTCTCGACTGCGCAGGGCTAGAGCTGTGTAGAGGTTTCAGGGCAGGCTCTTAGTAATTGCTTTGTTGCGGCAGCAGGCTTGGCTGTGATCCAATTGGTCAAAACATGTCAAACCAGGGCGAGAGATGAACACCAAAACGCTTGCAGTTCGTGAGCAGTTGTTGGCTTCCACATTGTGAGCCAAGATGGTGAAACGTTTATTCTGGAGGGCTTGGAGTGTTGAATGAACCGCGGTCTTTATCCAAGGTGGGTCTATGCGTCTTGGCTGCAAGGGTTTGTGCGGATTTGTCGTGGGCTCATGCACTTGGTCATTCGATGAATGACGCTTGGTCATTCGAGCTGTCAGCACATTGAATGACACGACTCACGACATACACCTTACTTACACCAGAATCCACCAGACGACAAACCACCGATCCACTTACGTATTGTAGCACGTTGCCGTTGACGTGGCCGAAGAATCCGCAGCCACAAAGCCCGAAAAAACCATCCCTTCGATGGGGTGGTGAGAATTGGTAGGAATCCACAGCACAAGGAATTCTTAGGCCTTCACAATATTACCATGTTCCACATACTATATAATTACCTTATGTACTCATCTATTCTGAATCAATGTTCAAGATGCCATTCTGGAAGGCCCTACAAAGTTTCAATCCCTTCCATTGAGACGTAGCGTTCCCGTTTTGATGGTCCGTGCATCGCTGATCGAAGACGCCATCGTGCCCTATGATTTGCCCAAAGAGGTAGATGTTGAGCTGGTCACCGATGATGATGGCAACATTTATAGAGCCAAAGGTCGTTTTGTGGCCCAGTACAGCAGCCGACTACGACAAGTGAACACCTTCCAGGGCGAAGTCCCTTTATCTCCTGGGGAGTTCTTCAAACTACGCGTGTTGGAGGTCGGATCTTTTGGAGAAATCGCCATCGGCCTCAGTGCGGAGCGTCACGCGGTGGATCCCGAGGTGGACATGGTGGGATGGGCTCTGAATGAGGTGGGCTTCCAAGGAGACCATGGGAGGTGCTATGTCCATGGCCATGAAGCCAAACGACGTTCAAGTGCTTCCTGGGCAGTGGGTCAGGAGATTGAATGTGGCTTGACGGCCCATGCCAATGTTTACTTCAAGCACATCCGGGAAGATGGAACTGCATTGCTGGAAATGCCTGGACGTTGGCAGATCTCTTCTGCATATCCCACCGTGACCATTCGGTCCCTGGGTGCTAAGGTGGAGATCGATTTGAGCGGAGTTGAGCAGAAGCCGTTGAAGGATTTGCTTCCACATAGCGGCCCTGCATGGAGCTCCAGTGTCTCCACACAGCGCAGGTTTGGCTCCTCGACTCTCAACTTGCTGACATCCTTCAAGAGGACAGTCATTGAAGAAGAGCAGTGCCAAGAAGGGGTTGGGGTCACCACACTGGAACGCCTTTTTGGACCCCAAGCAGCATGCTGTTGCAACTGTGAAATGGCTCAGCCATCATCCATCAAAGCTTGAGTTTCACCTGGGAGCCTGGAAGGTTGGTGCCAAAAGGCTTGGCGCCGCGGGTTTCACTTGTTTTGTTCTAAGAGAGCAGCATTGCAACATGTGTCACCTAAGGGGCCCTCAGGATAAACATATTGTGTTTTTTTTCGCACTGAGGTTTTGTGAAGGAGAAGCCCTGCTGTAAAGCAGCGCGGCAGCGGGTTGCGCGTCAACCGTTCGCTGTCGCCAGCGTGCAGCTCGCTGATATGCCACGCCATGCTCAGGGTGTCTCGTGAGAGCCTCAGAGGATGCCAGCTGCCAGCCAGCGGAGTAGATGAAAAGTGAATAGCAATGATCATCAATTTTAGCACCTTGGGTGTATTTGGCATGCTGTTTGGGAACAGGATTGGGAACAGACATTAGAAAGGAAACCCGGGTGGATCGCCCGCCAAGGGCTGCTAGCCAAGCAATACAAGAGCGACGTCGCTTGGTTGATTTCATCACCAGGTTTCCCAGGGAAAGGTGCCAAGGGTTACAGTAAGTTATGTTGATGAAGCGCAGTACTTGCAGCTGTGAACACCCAAGGTCAAGCAGCAGCAAGACCGAGTCAGACAAGAAAAAACCCTTCTCCACAAGAGTGCGCCATCCAAGGTTCTCAAGTTCATCACTATCAAGGCCATGATGCTCGGATCAGCCATGCCTATCATGGAGGACAGCTTTGACCCTTACTACGCTCAGCCTGAGCGGAAACTCACCAGCCACAAGTTGCTGAGTCCAGGCGCAGGTCAAGAAGGACATAGAAGGACTTTCATGGAGCTGCGGAGAAAAGTTGGGTGCCACAAAAACAGTCTATAACAACTGTAAATAGAGCTTCTGAAGGATGGCCAAGGGCATTGTCGAATGACAATGCATGTCATATTCTACCGGCATTGATAAGTTTGGGGGCAGTTTGTGCTTTTACTGGCTATCACCTATCTATCATTTCCTTTGCGGCATCAGTTGCGCCTTTTCAACCGTGAACTGCACAGGAATTGACTTCGTCCTTGCCAGTGACGATCCTGATTGCATTGGGTTGTAGCGTAGATGGGTTAATGATGGTTAACAGCTGATCATCTTGGGTGAACTGCAGGCCCTTCGCAGGCAGCAGCCTGATCAGCCATGCTAATGCACATACTTGGATCTTGGGTGATGCCACGCATCATGTGGCAGCACGACCCACTGCACACCGCGCAAACTTCACTGCTGGACACTTGTGGCATAGGATCCAAGTTGGACGGGCAAAGATCACCTGTCCCGAGCAAAGCCCAAAAGAGGCGACGGATGAAATGCTTTAAAGAGATGAGGTCAGCAATGGTCAGCGGTTCCTGTTTGTGTTGGCAGGAGGGCTTGACATCGTACTTGTTTGTATGTGTTGTATCATGTATGCACCTGCACCGACACACCGACCATAGACTAATCCTCGAACCCGTCGGTGCATCGATGTTTGGCAAATTGGAGATAACATGTGTATATTTATATACTGTATATATAGCTGTATAATATATGTATATATATATGTATCTATATACACATACCGATATAGATACATATATATACTATATTAGGGTGTTTTTTTCAGGCTCCCTTTAACAGAGCCATAGTTTTGTTTACGCTTTCTTTTTTGGACCGGCTCCCCTGCTTTGAGGCCAGTGGGCTCCGAAAGCGATGTGAAGAGCCCGGACGCCGAGAAAGCATGCCTTTGTGAATTGATCGCACGTGCAGAATATGAGAATTTGTACCTTGTTACTAGTAGCTTCTTGTTATATACTAGTAGTTTGGCCAGGAGCTACTAGTAGGATTCATCATGCCTTTTCCTTCGTAGCCTTGAACCAGTGATGGTTTGGCCTCAAGTCGCATTCGCCAGGACACAGGCCTGAACCATCTCGGCCCCCCATCTTAAAGGTAAATTCTCAAATTGCTTTAATAATTGGAGGTTCCCCATTACGAAGTCATAGAATCGAGCCACTGATCTTTCATCAGAGCGCTGGCTGCGTGTGATTTCAACACCTGTAGCACTTGGCTCAGTTTTTTCCCAATCCATTCAGTGGAAGGCCCAGCGAACAAGGCATTGAGCGACAGCTGCTATACTTTCGTTCTTGATTTGCTTGGGCTTCCATGCCACGCCAGTTGTTCTGGCGATGGAAAGTAAAGCAGTCATGGCCTGCGCAGTGCATCTAAGAGACAAGGGTATCCAGGCAGATTCTGTTGAGGCCCAAATGTGAACCACCTTGCACAAGCTTTGGCCTTGTTATACACGCGGACTGAAAATAGAATGAGGACAAGGGTTTTTTGAGTGGCGAGCAATACGGGACCCGGGCAGGAATTGACCGTCATTCTGTGTCGGGCCTCATTCTTTTTTGACACTTAGAATGCTGGGCGCTTAGAATGCCAGCCAAACATCTATGGAAAGATGTTTGTTTCCTGCAAATTCTGCAGGTTTGTGGTGAATTCACCCGGGAGACCCCGGGTAAACTCAAGTTAGAATGGGGCACAACTGATGTGACAGCTGTGTTTAAACGGTTTTTTAAAGGAAACGGGACAAGACCTCAGATTTCTAAAGATTCCCCGAAAGTGGTAGAAGTCTTGGATTTCAAGGTTTTGGTCATTTTGGGCACTACTTTTCAAAGGTTTTGAAGGAAACGGGACAAGACCTCAGATTCCTAAGATTTTTCCCGAAAGTGGGAGAAGTGTTGGTTTTCAAGGTTTTGGTCATCTTTGGCACTACTTTTCAAAGGTTTTTTGAAGGAAACGGGACAAGACCTCAGATTCCTAAGATTCCCCGAAAGTGGTAGAAGTCTTGGTTTTCAAGGTATTGATCATTTTTGGCACTATATACTGTTAAAAGGTTTTTTAAAGGAAACAGGACAAGACCTCAGATTCCTAAGATTCCCCGAAAGTGGTAGAAGTCTTGGTTTTGCAAGGTTTTGGTCATTTTTGGCACTACTTTTGAAAGGTTTTTTAAAGGCCTTTGGCAAGGCAGGCCCGTAGCTGCAAACAATAGAAGCATCGAAGTGACTAGCTTGGATATGCTTAGATGGCCTTTGCATATTCTCCCAGGGCTGATTCAAAAGGAACCCTGACCAGAACAACAGAAACCAGGAGGCAGCTGCTTTCACTCCAGTAATTGCTTCACTCCTGCAGGGGGAATGCGGTTCGCGGGTTTGAGAAGCCGTCACTAAAACCCTTTGGAAAAAAGAAGTCCATTGGCGCGCGTAGACATGTCAAGCTCTCCCTGTTTGCAGATGGCAGCCTTTGTGGCGCCCCTTGCAGCCCCAGCTGGGCGGCTAATCCAATCGCAGCCTATAAGAGCGCCCGTCAACGGACAAACACCCAATGCACCTGCGAGGCAGGAGGGCAGCAGGTCAAAATGACATGGGCATTCTTACTCTCTCGGCTCAGACTTCAAAGATTTGCAAGCTTAGGCGGCCTTTACCCACAAAGAATTGAAAGGAGGAGTGTTAGTGTTGCCAGTTTTACGATGATATGTACTGGATACGGGTGACTTTAGGACTTCCTGAACATATGGCAAGTTCACAACGCCTATCTCATGTGTACACAGCTGTTGTGCACCATGTGGGTGTGTGCGAGTCCCATCTCATCAGTTTGCGATGCTGTTTTGGCAAGCATGGCAATAGCTTCAAATAAGCATTGCGGACCTAAATTTTGCTGGCATTTGTCGGTGTGCAGCACATGAGATAGGAGTTACAGAGACACGGGCACTTTCTGGCCACCACATGAGGTAGGAATGGATCCTTTTTTTTGTGGTTCGCTTTCCTAACCACATTTTGTTGATGATGTCAAACATTTACGTTCTGAAGATTTGTTAGTAAAGTTAAGTCTTGCGAGTTTTTTCTCCATGGGTTTCTTGGCAGTTTCTGAACCCATGAGGTGGGAGTGTGTATGCAATATTGCTATCACAACGACTTTATCATTTGCTTTGGCGTCATGTGATTTTTTGTATGATTGCTTGACAGAGACATGACTTAGAACCTAAGTCAGATGTCTTTGTGACTTACGACTAAGCCCCTGGTAGAGCCTAACTTTCTCGACAAAGCCTAACTCAACCTAACCTATACAATATATATAATATATAATAGTGTATATATATATAAGTATAATTAACATAACATCACAGTAGCCAACTCAAGTTTAGTCGAATCATTTCGTTTCACATTTTAACCGTCATTGGCTAAGTCATTGTCTCGGACAAATACCCCGGCTGGATGTTTGTTGGGATGTCAGCACATTAGGGCCAGTTTGACAATCTCCGCCTTTCAGGCATGCCGTCTCCAGTGGCCTGGGCGTTGCTTTGATCAGTGCCCTGCGATGGCGAGGCCAGACTGCAAGAAGATCCATACGTTTGAGATCGTTTGAGATTCTGGCCATAACCATGGCTCAAGAATAGGGTACCGTTACTGTAGATCTTATTCAACCGGGATTTGGAGAACCCTTGTCTAGTCTTTTGGGGTAGATGAAGGTTGAATTTGCAAGACACGTGGCACGCTGCAGGGCGATGTCAATCATCGAGGAAGCAAAGGGTGCAACGTTGGAGCGGCTTGGCTTCCGGCCAATTAGTGTTCACCAGCAGGTGTTGGGTAGCATGCCTATCTTCAAGGCGTTTGAAAGAGTTAGCAGTAGCTGTTGGATCGTAGTCCAAGACCTACCACGACCATCCACGACCTACAAACCTGGTAACCTGTCTCGCCATTATTACATAAATTGATCTGAATGATAATGAATGCATGTTGGTGATCCAGACTGTGCCAGACACCATTGCCAGAACTCGTTGTAGAAATCCAACTGCGGCACGTGAGCATCAAAGAGCGAAATGTTGGAGATGATTGTCGTTATGTGGCTAGCACATCGCTAGCAGATTGGAGGCCATTGCTAGTAGGTTTGAGGCCATTGCTATTAATTAGGTTGGAGGCCATCGCTAGTAGAAGTGCGTTTTCGTTGGGTCACCCTTGGCAAGGCAAAGAGAAAAGCAGTGGGGAAATCGCTGCGCCTAGCTATCCTGGCGTGGAAGACCCAAAGCTCTTCGGCGGCAGGATAGTTCCCATACATCGCAAGTGGCAGAATGAACTGAGTGAACTATTGGAACCTCAGAAACCAGTTTTCCGCTTAGCCTAAGATCATGATGTTTCCTTTGGTGAATGCGGGTCATGTTAGCAGTGCTTGGAAGCCAAATTCTGAAAGCTGATTCCTAAATTTAGCCACTGATCAAGCACATTTGCAGCTAGGAAGTTGCTTAGCTTTGCCCACGAGCTGTGCGACTTCTTCCGCAGCTCAAGCCACTCGACGAACAGCGCTGCAGGGCCTTCGCGTCTTTAGCCTCTCCAAACATTTTATGTGTTCGCCCGGCATTTGGGCCAAGTTGGCCGTAACTGCCATTCATCACGCGCTTTATTGCACTTTGGTTGCGTAGTGCCGACCAAAGAACTGAAAGATCATTCACCATAGCTACGTTCCTTGCCAACATCTGCTTTGAGCGAGCAGCGCTGCCTGATCATACCATTTGAGGTCGGGCCAGGCTTCCCAAGGAAGATGCCATGAAATTGCTGCTAGATGCACAGAGGCGGGACCACATTGCGACAGGATTCTTCATGAATTTAGCAAGCGGGGTCCCTTCAGAAGCCTTTCTCATCGACCCTGGGAAAATTGTGGGGAGCTTTGCTTGCACTCTTTGGCGAGTCCAATTTTGGTCTTCCTGGACTTCCGATTTTGCAGGATGCTGATGCAAGAGGAGACGCTCGTTCGAGTTCAGGCTTGGACAAGTAGGGTTTTCCGCTGTGACCGCTTGCGGAGCAGGTCCGGTTGCCTTAGTGCAGCCACAGAATCACAATATGCTAGATGCTTGTGTATGGACTCTATGAAGGTGTTGTTCTGTATCAGCCACTGGGCCAGCCTACCCAGCCACTCAAGTCCAGAGTCCAGACATATTTACCTCACGGCTGCGTCATCAGATCGAGTTTGTGCTGTTTAGCCGGACCTTGCGGTGCCCCTTAAATTGGGGGTCTTTGGACCTGAATCCGCGAGAATTCCTAGCCCCATCCTTCATATCAGGCTCTCATGCTGGTCTTTCACATCCATGGAGTGCTAACTTTGTTGGCTTCATGTTCTGTTTCCCCCCAAACCAACTCCGCCCCGACAGCGGCAGGTGCCCGTCGGGGAATACCTCAACGTCGTCGGCGACGTCCATGGACAGCTTTTTGACTTCCTAAGCTGCTCGGAAGGCCTCCAATTCAGCAACGTCCAGATTCGGAATAAGCAGCATCCAGACACCTCATGTTGGTTTTGGTTTACGTACTACAGTAAGTGCCATGTGAGTTGTACTGTCGTCGACGCCCAGGTTGGCAATCATAAGGCACATCTTCCGCCCATAGGGTACATTTTCCTCCCACAACCTGAGCAGATTGGGCATACTTAGCAAGGTTGACCTCGGGGCAAGCGCTCAAGAGCTATTTGAATCTTGCAGCCGATGTTCGTGATGTGCCACTGCAAAAATCATCAAACATTCTGGGTAATTACTGTCGTTCGGGTTTTGTGGCTATGTGTGGCTCCATTGAGGGGCTTGGCTTTGAAGTTTTGTGGGGGCGATCCAAAGTGTTTTCTTGCACTTGAGGCATTTTTGAAGCAAATGGATGGCCAAGTGAAGAGAACCCGTTTCTCTTCAACGGTGACTTTGTAGACCGTGGGTGCCACGGCTGTCAAGGTTGTTCGGTTGGCTCTTGTGGGGCTGCAAGAGGGATGATAGTGCAGGTGTGAGCCAAGAGCTTGTGTCGTCGACACGAGGTGTCCAAGTGCTGACATGTGTTTGGGCCGTTCAGTATGTGCCGATAGGTCGAGTGCCCAAGGCCGCTGCTGTTCTTTTGCGAAATGACATGACATGCAATCCACCAAACCAAGGTCATACTCCGTAGAAATCATGCTGATTCTATTGGCATTCAAGTTGGCCTTGCCCAAGCACTTCTTTCTGGGGCGAGGCAACCACGAGGCGGCGGGAAATTGAGGCGTACTGCGATTTGGGGTTACGGCCACATTGTGCTCATCGGTCCTTCACCAGGACCAGCAGATGAACTATTACTATGGCTTCACAGGAGAGGTCTTAGCAAAGCCGGCTGCTGAGAAGGAAGTCTGTTTGTGCATTTGATCTCAGGTTGACGGGAAACCGTGAATTACCATTGTGCTGAGGACTGTAGGAATGGTTGATGATGGTTGATCAATAGAAGGCATTCAGAAATCTGTCAACCGAGGGCATTGCGAGGCTTGTTCGGGCTATTGCTCCAAAGCTTTGTGGGCACACCGAGCCTCTTAAGGTATGACGCCGAGTTGCCAGTGTGGGCCGCCTTTCAGAGATCCTTCGTGCCACTTGGACTCCCTACACTGTCGGTCCTTTTTCGAGCCGAAGACGTCTCCCCGAGGGCCTTGCCACTGGCACATGTGGTGAACGAAGATGTCTTCGTGACTCATGGAGGTCTTCCGAGGAGAGCCTGAAAAAAGCGGCGGCATCTAGCTGCAGCTTTGCATCACGTTTCATCAATGGTTTCTTTCACGCTATGCCCAAGTAAGTGGAAGTTTGTACGGCGGATGTATACTGTGCATGCGACGTGTGCAATCCCATTGGCATAGATAGAAAGCAAGACCATTTTTTCCCATTCCCATTCTATCATATTCTATTTACTGCAACTACTCCATGATGATGCTAATGATATATCCAATATAATCTAATGATGATGATGCTTACTAACATACACGTTCCAAAATTATGTAATGTACACTGTAAACTGTATGTTGGTCTTTTTTGCTTGTTTGGTTTGTTTGTCATTAATATTTATTTGTCCTGTCTATATATCGGTTTGTTGAAGAAGCTTCCGCTGGCCTGGGCCTGGGCCCAGCCACAGGATCAACGAGATCAGTTTGGATCAGATTGCAGCCTTGGACCGAGTTCAGGCATCCTTGGTGGGCACATGGGGGGGTCAAGAACGGTGCCATGGTGATCCAAACCGGGTCAATTTGGTTGGGACAGTCGAATCAGAGGTGGTTGGAAGTTAGGTCCAATGCAACATTGATTGGAACTGTTGCTTTAAGCTGTTTTTGACCCTGAACTCGAAGGCGCATGAGCAGATTTCAACAGATCTCATAGGCTACGTCCGCAATGAGGGCTGTGGCATGTACGATAGCCTGTTCATGCTAAAGAAACATTGAGAAACATAAATTAGGAATCGGGAACTCATTGGATCTCAATGATAAAATCGAACAGTAGCAAACCGTGATGTTTCCATATGTGTCCTATCTTCTAACTTGAAGGGCAATCAATGTCAGGAGTTCTTTTGTGACTCGTGGTCTCCTGGCTTTTTCCAGGTAAGTACAGAGCAAGAAGTGCGAGAAGAAGGTGTGATTTACAATGATCTCATGTGGCCTGGAGATAGTCATTCAACACACACGTGACTTGTGTGCCATGTCTGCCACTGTGTACATGTGCGTTCATCCCTGGAAAACTGTTCGGCAATCTTGCCTCACCTCCCAGGTGGGCGGATCCACATGATGGCTCTGGCAGCATCGGAAGCCAGCGCGGCGGCAGTGCCAAGATGTTTGGTGCAGACATGACTGAGCAATTCCTGAAGAGGCCTTATTGGGTGGCCTCAAGTGATGTCCTCCCATGTAGCGGACCATTCTCTCCCATGTTGTCCAGTCAATGTTTGAGTTAAGACATTTAAGATGAGTTACTGTAAGTGCTTGAAATGTCGACATGTGGCGGGAAGCCCAGACAGGGCAGCTTCTATTGGAATAGCAATGACGTATGATAAGAACAGCCGACAAGTGATGCCCGAAGCTTGTGGTGTTCGTGAATGGTAATGAGACAAATGGTTCATGCGACTCTGTGGTAATTATTGGTAACTACTTCTTTATATTTTCTTTGTCGTCACTTCGAATCGGCTTTTTGGGCATTGGCATCACGGACAGTCCCTTCCCTGGTAGGAACGATCTCAGCTTCATCATTCGGTCGCACGAAGTCAAGGAGCTTTTGCCTAGCTTGCCGGGGTGCTGAAGAGAGAAGAAAATAGAATTCCCAAGAGTTGATAGCAGAGTTCTTCAAGCTGCTTTCGCAAGATGGGGCAAGAAAGTAAGCAGGTTCTAAAGGCTTCCGAGGCTTCTCAGATCACAAGACAGCAGGCCGGGTGAGGGTATCTAGCGATTACTGTAGATGATGTGTCTTGTTTTTGGCCCCTGTTTGACTTGGCACATTGGCTGAAGGATGAAGGCTTCGAATGGCAGCAAAATGAGAAGTGTCTCACAGTGTTCTCTGCACCACAATACTGCCACTCGGAGTAGGAGATGAATTGGCAATGCAATCATTGCTAGCTTCGGCTACAGTAGAGTTTTTTCATGTTATTTCTATTTTTTTGATCTATTCGTTGCTTTCCTGACTTTGAAGGTTCTGTTAAGCACACGCCTTTGTGAGTTGTTTCTTATGCTGGAGAAGCGTTGACAAGCTTCAAACACCGATGTTTCGGCAGAGTAGATGCATGTTTGTTGTTTTTCTTTGAAACGACTTCAGGGCACGATGCATAATGGCGTTGCACCTGCACTCGAGGCGATAGTTGTAACAACCTGGGAGCCGTTGTGCGATTGCACGCGGACGAGGCAGATGAAGGCGGCTGTGTGCTCCGCTCCGTTTTGTTGGATGTCTTGTCTTCTCTATAGATCTATGTGTTGCATTGTGTTGGTAGGTTATTTTTGCGGATACAGGAACAACCAGGAAGCAGCACTTTGACAAAGAAGGGTGATACGGTGATACAGTGATATGCGAGGTGCTAGCTATGCAGGTGTCCAGACCAGCGATTGTTTTGGGAACACTTTTGGAGCTATAAGTGGCTGACCTGTTGAGCCCATCGTTCGCACAAACATGAGATGTTGAAAGAAGGCACGACTTTAAGCCGGTCTCACAAGGCATTGTAGTGTGGAACACTGCAAGCGAGCAGTGGCACGGTACGCGGCTACAGCCCAAGCACGGGCCAACCCGGTGACTAGACGCCCAACAGAATGCAGGGTGAAGATGCAACCATCCACGTCAGCCAGAGCCCCTAGTAGCGTCCTTGCTCCTAGTAGCGATGCCAGGAGCCCCTAGTAGCGTCCTTCCTCGTATGGCCTGCGGCCTCCAGGTGCAAAATTGCGGCCGGAGATTTTACAGTTCGATGCCGCCGAAAAGCCCAAGGAACGGCGCGAGTGGAGCCAGACGATCTTGGTGTTTTGGGAGGTACATGGCCCATGTGGCACACCAAATAGGATCAAAACAACATAAGAATGCTTGGCTGTGGTTGATGTTTATGACTAATGACGTGAATACTTGTGACACCTTGTGACAATTCATGACCATTCAGCCCCATGTAGGACTACGTCTCCGCCATGGCATACTGCAGACTATCGGAGTCGAAGCTCAGTTGCAGAATGTGCAGAATGTGTTGCGAAAATTATTCGATGTGTTGTGTTTATTCCAGATCTTTTAAGGAATGAGCTAGGAGGTTTCACGAGAGAAGGGTATCAGAAAATTGTGATTGTGGAGCCTTCATATGCGTTTTCCAAGTGTGAAATTGGATTCAAGGTTGCCATACATACTAAATTTAAACGATTGGACACTTAAAACGCATATTGACTGAAGTTGTAATGTTTGAGGTGTTCAAAGTCATGGTGATGGAACTTCATGAAATCACAAGGAGTGATGGACCGTGCAAATTCCAATCAACAAGAACATAGGGACACAAGTGACACAAACAAAGTCCTATTCTACAACTCTTCATTCTTCTGAGATTTTTCTTCTGTGATCTGCCATCTGCAGAAATTACTGTTGTCAGAATGTCAGAAGCTCACTAAGAGACACCAGTAACACTGTGAGATTAGGGGTCCAGTCCCTTTTATGTGGTCCAAAAATGCATGCGCAAACAGATGCACCACCTTCATATGTGTAAATATCTTTGAATTATACATCAATTGAGATACATTTAAAAAAACACATATTGCAGATTCCGCCCAGGGAGGTATCAGAATTTTCTGAAGGTATCAGAATTTTCTGACGATCATCAGAATTTTCTGACGATCCTCAGAATTTTCTGACGATCATCAGAATTTTCTGACGATCATCAGAATTTTCTGGCGATCATCAGAATTTTCTGATGATCATCAGAATATTCTGGCGATAATAAGAATCTTCTGACGATCATCAGAATTTTCTGACGATCATCAGAATTTTCTGACGATCATCAGATTTGTTTGATGATCATCAGAATTTTCTGACGATCATCAGAATTTTTCATAATATTCCCAGATTCATCATAATATTCTGAGCACCCATAAGCGTAAAAACACAATCTTGTAAAAATAAGGTGTTTCATGAACGCATATTGGCTTACCCAACTATCAATATATATATGCTGTGACGCTTCCAGAGCTATTTCGCATGCCCTCACGAAACTCCATAGAATGAGCAGTGCATTTCCAAATGTCTTGTTTGTGAAACTGCATTCAGTGTTCATATATATATAGAGAGAGAGAGTTATATATATATATAGTTATATATATATTTAGGCACCTTTACTTGCTTGGGAGCTTTGCACGTCAAAACCTGTGTTTCCTGATTCTTCCCTCGCTTCTAGTATTTTGTTGCCAAGGCTTATGTCCAAAGCTTTGGAGAAGCAGCGTAAGTCGCAGATGGCGGAGTCAGGGTGGGGGTCTTCTTGAGCAAGATAAACGTCAAAGCTCTACTCTACTTAGAACTTATAGTATATTGTTTATATTGTTTGAACATCACACACCCAATTCAAGCGGCCCCCAAAGCCTGCCCTACTGTGGCATTATGCCTTATATGTTGTCAGGCTGCGGTTTCGGTATGGGTACAGAGCCTGCAAGAAGCACAGCAGAAAATAGCTGTGCCGAGCTTGAGTGTGACAGATGATCGCTTTTCAACATCTACCTGAATGGCTACAATGCTGTTGATGAAAGCGAAGGATTGCCAAGCTGCAGGCGTTCTGCGGAGGTGTTTGAGGCTGGCAAGCCTGTCAGCATCACCGACTGTTCTCAAGGCGATCACCGGAAAATGTCGGACCGAAAGCGGGAAGCGCAGCATCACTGCGTGCAGTGATGGCGCAGATACGGGGCACAGACGTAGGGTCGATGGTCGGATTCTCTCAGCTCCAAAAGGTGAGGTTCTCTCAGCTGTTTGCCAACATGTTCAATGTTCGTCTTGCGGGAGAGGAGCAAGATGGAGCAACCCTCTCAGAACTTGCTAAAGGCCAAACTCTTTCTTGCCGGCCGGCCTGGAGTGTAGAAGAAGCTCAGGTTGCACCTCCCCATCGACAAGCTGGGTACGTTCGCTGCAGCTCCCTTGCTTGCTGAGTGCGTCCGATCCCTAGACAAATGCGGGATGATGACTTCGCCTGTCGACCTTTCTGAAAAGATTGGAATTTCTGGGATCATACTGTCGGCTTTGACGTTCTTTGTGCGACTTAATAAGTGTGTTTCTTGCCCAAGTGTATCCAAACATTTCCTACCACCGAGGAAGATAGCCTTTTGCACACCTTTTGTACAGACAAAGAACGTTGCAAGGAACGTCTCAGCAACCTTTCACTGCCAGAATTGCAGTTGGAGCGTGAACCTCAGGGGTGCCGGTGTGTTTCTTACACAGGCGACACTGCCTGGAGGCCTGTGTTCACCTTAGTAGCCGATGTAGTCATAGTCTTGCGAGATGGGCATGGACAATACATAAGTTCTATAGCGCATCAACATAGGGTCAACGTGTTTGAGAGGTTGATTTGTGGGTGTGTTTTGGGTAAGATTGTGTGAACTGGCCATGCTACAACCAAATGTGCAAAACTTTTTAGAGTGTGCTTGGAGGATCACCTACTGTAATTACAACCGATTACAACTAAATACTGATACTTATATTCAGCCCATGTGGTGGCTGAGTTGGTGCAGAAGCCCCTTCCATCCATGAGAATCGTTTCTGCTGCGCTTTTTTTCCAAGCACCACTAGCCCGTTGAGGTGGCGGCAAAGCTGCGCTTGTGAAGAGCCACGGGGTTGGGAGACTAAGTGGAGACCAGAGACGAGGAAAGTCACACGCGGTCTCATCACGAAACCCACGGGGTTGGCAGACTAACAGCTCAACATCTTGCTAACAGCTCTTAGGTGACATCGTTGAGAAGAAGGGCCAGCTCATCGATAGGCAGAGCGAAATGAGCGGAGTGATCACTGGGATTTACCATGGTTTGTTTACAGTCAACCGTGCTGCCCGTGGCCATGCGGGCAATTGCGGGCCGAGGGCCTGGTATCTATGCCCAGAAGTGTGGGAGATAGCCAAGTTTGATTTTGTGCGTCCTGCAATTGGCTTCCAGGTTGAAGCAGCTCGCGATTTGGCGCGCGAGATGCCTATGACCATCCTCAGATTTGGTATTGTTCTGTGAGCGGGGTGGTGCATGACGAGTTTGCATGAGCCGTGCCATCAAGCTGCTTGTGGTCGAGAAGGTTATAAGGCTTGGGCACCTTTAGAAGAATCAGCAGTTTTCCCGAACAACTTGACACGCAGGGTATGGGTCGTCCCAATGGTTCTCAATATATTCTTTCGGCACAGCCACAAGAGTGTAGATAATGCCAGTGACATGGAGTGAATATAGGTGAAAATGATGATGAGTCATATTGAGTCCTCCGCAGCTGGAGTTGGCTGGGGCACTTCTGACGGTATCAGCCAGCATTTGGGGGGCGAATCCTTCAGCCAATTCGGCCCAACTAACGAAGCCGCTCCCGGCCAAAAGTGCGGCCGCGGGGCGAAGGCGGGCTGACAGAGCTCGTTCCGCGAGCGTTGGCTAGGCTGTTTCAGTGTATTGGAGATCATTGTTCCTAGTAGTAAGGCCAGGAGCCCCTAGTAGCGTCCTTGCTCCTCTCTCAGGATCAATCACAAGAGGGTGTGGGTTTGGGTGCGTGGGGTCAGGCAGGATAGCAAAACTGAGGTTGCGATGCGTGCCTTTCCATGTGCTGTGCTGGCCATCCTCACTGTTGTGGATGCTCGCACTGAGGCCCTAGACACAGTCGAATCCTTGCTTTCTTTTAACACTATACTCTCATTGGTCTCTTGGTGGTTGTCTTGCCAGATAGGAGCTCTCACTTTTCGAGCAACGGAACTCTTGTTTGAGTTGCTTCGGTTTACTCTTCAGGTGGCAGAGAACGCCTCATCTTTGCTTGCCGTGCACTTGGCAGCGGGCGCAGACTCAGAGTGCTCAGACACCTCAACTGCTTCTTGAATGAGCAAGGGCTCCTCACGTTGGCCACGAGAGAGAGGGGGAAGCGAGAGAGAGAGAGAGAGAGCGAGAGAGAGAGAGAGAGAGAACAAAAAAAGTAAGCAGTGAGAAGCAGTGAGTGGTCCGCGAAAGCTCAGCATGACATATTTTTCCACTTTGTAGCATGAAGTAGATCACAAGAAATCACATCACCCTCAACCTGATGCAATCCTCAGGTTTCTCGAGCTACATGCTTGAGCAAAGGAAAGTGCAGCTCGTCTCACAAAGACATTAGTCTCATTGCGCGGATTCCCATAAATCACCTGCACATTGCTGGCTGCACCTCCAGACAGACTCATGTTCCAGATTTGTTCGTTGCCGTTGCCCATTTGCCACGTAGTTCTGGGCTCCTTTGGACACCTCGGCCAGGCATGTTCCTCGAACTCGACCAGCAAAATCTTTGCCTCCCCTGCGAGTGGAGTGGTATGCCTTTGCCATGTGTCCCTCGGAAACCCGGCAGCTAAACATTTGAACATATCTTGAGCCACCTTACCGTAAGCGCCTAAACATGCAATAAGACGCATATGTTGCAAGAGGGCCAGTGGATCCAGTTCGTGCGCAAAGCATGCCATGATGCCATGATGTGCTTTCGAATATGCCTGTAGTGCTAAGTCATCCCGGTGCGCATCTTTGACTTTCCACCCTCGGTGCCGTCGGTGCCCAGGAATGCAGCTTACCCACAAGGACGGGTGGAGAGCTGCGAGATGAGCCTTTCAGCGGCATACATGAACTGGTCCAGCAGATCGCATGTTGACATGTGAAGAACCTTCGTGATTCCGGTGCTTTGGAGAACATGTTATCTATGCACCCACCCAAGGGGAGCATGAGCTTCATGAGCCTTCAGCCTTCAGGTTCTGAGTCTTGTGTTGCGAATGGAGGGTCGCTTGAAAAGTGTCAAGGCAACAAATTATTGGGTCCCAAAAGGATGAGTTGACAGAACGAATCGAGCACCTTTGAGTAGTTCCATGATGTTCCATGATGTTCCATGTGCAATTTTTCAATTGTAGACACGGCCGACGTGTGGGATGCAGGTGTGATTTCGGCTTTGGTGGTTGCTGAGGCTGCGAGCACCAACAAATGGTCTCAAAGCTGTCAGACTGCACAGATGTCAGTGGTGAGATCCGAATGGATGACTGTGGCTTGGCCAAAAAGAGGGGCAGGACAGCTCTGGGGAGAGGCCGATACAGTTACAGGGATTTTGAGCTGCATGTGTTGTTTAGATACCCGTTTGTCACAACATGTCACGACCTTTGGTTTCCTCAATGGCATGCCGCTAAGTCAAGTGGAAAGAACAAGCTGCCAGAGAGATGAGACATTGAAACCTGACTGGCGCTAAGGTGTGGCAAAGGGCAAAAGTGCTGGGGTCTCTTGCATGTGGACCTCGTACATGCGAAAGGAGAGAAGGGGTAATCATGGCTAGCAGTTTTGGATTGACTTTGTGTCTCTCCAACCCGCTGATGCGTTGAGTGCGCCCTTCAAGTCAATAGTCAATGGTTCATGTCATATTCAACATCTAGATAAACTTATACAGTATAAGTATCTACAGATCTTCCTGGAACGAGAAGCCCAGCGAATAACCCTTGGGCCGCTCAAGCTCAACCTCGCCTTGCAAGCTGCTTTGTGAAGCAGGATGGCAGCCGCAGTAGCATGTGTGGCCCATGCAAGGCCTGACACGGCGTTTTGCCATCGTTTTGAAAGTCTCGAAGCGTCAAGCGAGTTGTGAAGCAGATGTCCCACCACCCACTGCACCAGGGGGGGCCTTGGCGGACCAGGGGGGGCGAGCGGCTTTTCGACGTTCAAAACTCGGCATCTAGACTAAAATAAGAACAGGATCAAAACAACAAACAGCATCAACAACAAAATAATCCTGAGATATCCTGAGTAGGCCCCCTAGTCCATTGGTCCCCTGCTCTCCTCGTCTCCTGCTGCCCTGGTCCTTTGGTCCTTGTCCCTGGTCCGCTGGCTTCGTGGTCCATTGGTCAAAATGCGCGAGGTGTACGAAACTAATCATATTTGCGAATTTGGCGCGACCTTTGCAAAACAAACATGCTGGTGGCTTCTGATGTTTGGTTCGCTCTGGGGCTTCTGACCTTTGCGAATTAGGCGCTCTGCCCTCCCACCCGACCCCCATGCGGCGCCACGAAATCTACGCCGCGTTTGCCAATGCACTGCGCCTGCCACAAGATTTTTTCAAGCTGCCCCATTGAATCTCCACACCACCAAATATTGCATGCCCTCACATAAGTTTTTTGGATTATATATGTTTTGCAAATTGCAAACGTCATTTCATTTCAGAGACAGTTTCGAGCCCCTTTTGCGACAGACCCAATTCCTCCAATATCTTAGATACATAATATATGTAATATACATAATATTAACTTATTTGAAGCAACTTTGAACCACTCTAAAACCATTGAAAACCACTCTAAACGTATCTAAACAACTCTAAACTACTCTAAAACTAATCGATGCAAAAAAAAAAAAAACACAAAAAACTACCCTAAGACTATCTAAGATTTAGAGGGAAGCTGTCAAAGCTGTTTGTGCTTAGGAGTGCATCGCAATTGAAATAGTACTACAGACTCCCAACAAACTGATCATGGTGCTGCCAACTGAATGTCAGCCCAACGATTTGACTCTAAACAACTCTAAAACATTCTAAAACTTTAGAGCGGGAGTATTTGGAAGCGGGTTTGTGGCCTTGTTTTGCTTGTGGGGAGCACTATCCAGCCACTAGCCAGCACCAACTCTAAACAACTCTAAGATTTTAGAGTCCAACTGTAAATTACTGTATGATTTTAGAAAATTGATGGAAGTTCAACATTAAAAACCACTCGAAGAAACCCAGCGCTACTGAGTTTCCTTTCCCACAGGTGTGTTTCCCATTCGAGATCCCTTTCCACGGTTCATTCCCTCTAAAATTCTAGAGAGGTTTAGATGAACTGGGTCTGTGGGAAAGGGGGCCCTGTGGGTGATAGAGCTGACCTTTGCCGTGTCCAACGTGTTTTCTTTATGTGTCTATCCTTTTGTTCTCTTTATGTTTTTTGTGTTTTGGTTTGCTCTGCGGGGGCCTGATCCTTTGTCGCCCTGCTGTTGTCCTTTCCCGGGTTTCTATTCCTTTCACTGCTCACTGGTTTTATGTGTTTTTGATCATTGATGCCTGCGAATGCTGCCATTCTTACGAGAAAAGAGCTCCAAGCGCAGCTGTTCAGGTGGATGGTTTGGGCGTGGTGGGTCGCAGTGCGCCTGGCAGCTATGGTCCAGAGCCGGGGAGTGTGGTAGAAGCGAGTGCCATGGCGGCCTTGTGGGCGAAAGACTGGTATGCTGAGCTTCGTAATTAGTTTTGAGCAGATTCGCCAAGATGGGATGATGGATGATGGAGATTACGGCTCTTTTGTGAAGAGGGTTGGGGCCGTCGAAAAGTCACCCAGGCTTCTCACAGTGTGATGCACAACAGCTGGAAGCCGCCAAGCCTTGCGTGGATCCTTCCAAGTGCCCCAAGGCCAGACTCGAAGACGTGTAGGGGCCCTCCGGAGCCATTGATGAGCCCCAAAGAGTAAATGAATCGGATCCCTGAAACCATTCGTCGCTTTTGCATTCTGCATGTGGCACATGTTTGCACTTTGTGAGTTTGCTGGTCGATGTGTCTTTGGCTTTGCGGATGGTGTTCGAAGGCCAAAACGCCCGCAGTTTGACGCCAGGCACTTCCCGCCCTTCCGCCACAAGCTGGCGACACCCCGGTGCCACTCTCTGATCTCACCCGCCTGGGCCTGAACACCACCGAAGATGCACCCATGTACTATGCAGCACCTGTCTCACCACCCTACGGCAAAGAGGAGATCAGGGCGAAGAATTTGATGGTTTGGGTATCTTTGGTTGAGAAAGGATCCTTGGGCTTAGTAGAATGGATCTTTGCCAAACGGCGTGTAATGACATGTAACACATGACATAATGAATCACAATGTCGTCACAATGTGTTGTCTCACTTTTGCCTTGGTATTTGCCTCACAGCAACGGTTCCGGAGTTATGCATTTATATACTTGTTGTATTCGTGTTACAGTAGTTAAGAATGCTGGGCCCCGGCGTTTTACAAACTGACTGTTGCACAAGCCCCGTCCCAGCAATAAATACCCGCAACGGGTCTGCCAGGAGTACCTGGCGGCTGCGCAAGCTGCTTCCAAGGCCGCTGGCTGGGAAGCTCCAGAGGATCTGAAGGAGGTGGACATCGCCATCAAACAGCCACCAGATGCTTGGCACGTCTCGCATGGGAGTTGTTTCATGTGTTTCAGGAATCAACCCTCCTACTAGTGGGTCAGCCCAACAGCCTAGTACAGAAGCAAGCCATCAACAAATTTGGTGTTCATTTGTGGGAGCTACGGTGTTGGACAGATTGACTGAAAACGTTCTTCAAAAGATGGGATCCTTTTTCTTTTGTGTGTTGACACTCCAAAATGTTGGTGCTGATTGACCGGACCCAGGCATGTCAGCTCCTTGGTCTCCTGCCATTGCTTCTGCTGTTTCTTGCAGAGGGTCCTTGAATTCTCTTCACTCACGGCCCCTGACATTCACACGTGATCTTTTTCGCCCTGCATGATGTCCAGCGGTGAGAGGATCTGGGGGGTTTCTTTGGAGACTGTGTCGTTGCCCATGCCCAGACCGCACCTGCCGTGCCATCGGATCTGGCTGAGCGGCCAGTGAAGCCATTGCCAGGGCTGTTGTTTCCCATCCCAGCCTTTCAGCCAAGACCCCAGCGATCACGTTGTGTGGCATCATGGGGTCGTTGGAGCACTGGTCAACGGTATGAAGATGTAGGAATTGTCCAAGGACAGACATTGGGAACAAGAATTTGATTTAACGCCCGTTTGATTGCAAAGCTTGCCACATTTAACACAGTCTGTCCGCGTCCATATGACGCATTTGGCTTCTGTCGAAACCGCTTCAGGTCAGCCACAGGAGGTATCTTAGCAGAACCCGGCGAGTCTTTCCGGCCACAAATGCTGGGGTGGCTTGGCTGTGGCAAGTGCCCTCGACCAACAGTGACACATCGATGCCCTATGGTCACCCATAGAGCATCATAAAGCACCTAAAACTAAACCTTTTTTGTGGAACCACACTACGCAAGTGCTGTGTTTTGAGTCCTTCTAGACTGCTCAAAACCCTAAACCCCCTTATGAACCTTCTGACCCGCAGTCCTTCCACTCAGGTCTTTACTCCAAGCCAAGTCCAAGAGGCTGAGACATGGCAGGCTGAGCGCTTCAGGAGCGTGAGGAGGAAAAAGGATCTCCGGCCAAGCGGCCAGATCTCTGAAACTGCGTACTTCATCATACTTAAACACTGGTCTAATGATGTCTAAATGCATTGGCTTGATTGTGTAATTTTATCTTTCGAGATTTTTCGAGCATGTTGAACCCCTTGAGCTGCTCCTTGAGCCAATGGCATTGAGTGGCACTCCTTCCAATCGGTCCGAGCGATGATTTGGAGTTAAGGCCCTTCCCGTCTCAGAGCTGCAGGACCAGTGTGTTCGCCTTAGTTCGGACATATCCGACATCTCCTGCAGCAGGTTAGAGAAAGTTTAAAATAGATAAATAAATATATATATATATTATATATATATATATGTTTTTTTTGGGGGGGGGAGCTTTGATTTGGCTGTTGGCTCTGTTGAATGATCTTAGTCGTGGGTGGGGTGCGTTTTGCCTTTCCTTCTCTCTCAATTGTCTAAGATCCTAGTCATGACAGCCGCGCGGAAACACACGTTTGTCAGACGACAATGGGGTGACTTGAAACTTGCTCCATGGTCCAAGACATGTGTTCAGTGTCTTCAGATGTCTTCAGTGTTGGTGTTCAACATTGTTCAACCACATGACCAGTGAGCTGAAAAACGCTTTTCAGTAGCACTTCAAGGGCCCAGGATGCTCGGAGTGTTGTGGCTCAAGGGCAAATCTCCGCCTTTGCAAGCCCATTGGAAGCCAATTATCGAACCGACTCTTGCCAAAGCAAGCTGATGGACGGTCCAAATTGGCCAGTCGAATGAAATCATCAAGATCCAAGTCCGAAATTCCAATCCCTTGACACCGTGAATCGCCAAAGAATTGCTGCCCAACGACGGCAGTGGCCAATTTATTGATATTCTGCATGCTTCGTGACTTGCCACCTGAGGAACCATGTCCGTAGCCTTGATCGTTCTATGGCATGTCTACTCTGCCACGGCAATGTGTATCGAGGAGGCCGGCAAGCCTAAATCTTTAATCTGGCTCTCACAGGCAAACATTTGTCAAGAGTTGCAAGAATAAGGATGTTGAATCAGACTCAGATTGAATAACTATTTGTTATTTCATCAATGCATAAATATCATAAATCTGAGAGATAAACGATGCGACCCTGTTGATACGTCAGATACGAGTTTCATTGCTTTCGGAGTAATTTAGAATTAATTTAGATTTAGATCCCATAATAAGCCGATTGTTCGTGTTGGAACGCTGCTGGGTTCGTGGTTCCTGGATGGACCCCATCCATGAAACCGACCCACTTTCACTGCATCACCCAAAAGATCCCAAAAGGGGAAGAATCAGGAATTATCCAAGCGGATTGCTTGTCCAAGTATGCCCAACACAGAACAGCGCATATGATTATGCATGTTGTTTGGAAACGGTCTGAACACGACGTTGCATGTTTAAAGGGCCTGGAATTGAGTTCTGTGACTCGAAGAGGTTCAAGAGCTTGACATGAGCTTCCTGCAGACGGCGACGACTGTAAACCTCTCGGAGGTACATGTGATGAAGGACCGAAGATTGACATGGAGCGGTTGTCTTGGTGCATTAAATGTTCCACTATGTTGCCTTTGTGTGTGTGTGTGTGTTCGCGTGCAGCTCTTGCCACAACTTTGAGAGAACTGGTCAATCTGGGAGGGGTGTTGTTTTTCTCCTTCCTGGCAGGCAAAAAGATGCAGTCTTGCTGATGTGTTCCCAGTGGAATCATTCTCGTATATTGAGAGGCTTTAATATCTTCAATTATGTAAAGAAGAAGAATATACGGTGGTTTGTAGATGGCACAGACCCCATGATGTCCTATCTCGATGGGTCGGTATAAACCACCTTTAGATAGGGGTCCCCCGTGCCATCTACTTTTAATTCACTATTATAGTAAGTATATGGTGCTGCTTTACCGACCACAATCCATCACAGCCAGGCTTCCAAGCCCGGAAGCAGTGCAGCTGACGTGTCTGGCGTTGAGACGAATGCCGCCGGCGACCTCACCACCTTCCTTACCGGCCTCATGACTGTGGGGTGTCGTTTCCGGGCCGACCACCGTGCTGCAAGCAAAACACCAGCTCCCTTGAACCCAGATCATTTGTGATCATACTGTACTGCATGGCCGCAAACTCGCATAGGACAGTGACAGATTTAAACATATTGCACGTCAGCTTCCACGGCTTTCGTATGATTTGTCATTCTATGATGACCTTGTCCTGCCTGGGGAGAAGGACGAATTCTGCGATGATCGCGGCCTGCGTGGTGGCTTTTATTGTATTGAAGAGCAGGCGGGGCTCCGATGTGGTGTTTAGAGATGTTTTTTGGTTGTCTAAAGTATACATTGCACCGCTTTATGTTTGGACATGTCGAGTTGGAGGATTGTAGAATGGCTGAAGTACCTTCTGGTCAGCCTACACTACTAATACTACTACTAATACTACTTCTACTACTACTACTACGACTACTACTACTTCTAATTCTACTTCTACTACTACTTCTACAACTACTACTTTTTCTGCAACAACAACAGCAACAACAACAACTACTACTACTACTTCTGCTTTTACTCCTGCTTCTACTTCTATGTCGACGACGACGACTACTACTATTACTACTATTCCTGTAGTGTATTGTAAGCAGTTGTACTTTACTTTTCCCTGAAGGTATCCCAAGATGTTTGCTTACAACAGCATCTCCGGCAAAGTTCCAGACACACCCGCGGATGACAATTTCTCCTGGGTGAGCTCCTCTGAGAAGAAAGTGCACGAGGAGACGGAAAAGGCTTGCTACAGGCTGTTGGTCTTTGTCAACGCTTGTGCTTTCAGGAGCACCGAAAATATGCCGGTCTCGACCATGCCATGTTGTTGGAGTTCACCATGATGTGCCGCTGATCTGAATTCTGAATCAGTTTTCACCCGCTTCACCCTCCAAGGTTTGCGCAAATGATATTCTTAAACCAGTTACACTACCCTACGGCCCTATGGGAGCCCGTGGTCGCAGTTGTATAGATGCCAAATGCTTGGTTTCAACGGTTTTAAACATGGTTGAATAAGAAGCAATTGCCGAATGTTTAGCTGAGAGCTGTAAACAATGTATACAATAGGGATTGTAGCAAAAATGCTGGGTGCGAAGATAAAGCACCTGAGGCAAGCGGATCTTGATGAAGATCGGCCTGCCAATGCCCCTCAACAGCACTTGCATCCGCAGGCCGACCCTTAAGTTCAAAGCCACAAATAAGAGCAGATGTTTTGAGATGACTATCCACATACTGTTTGTGGCAGCATGCATATACTGTATACTAATGATACATTAGTTTATCTGTTTATATATTGCTTATATATGTGTGTATATATAAACATATTATGAACGTGGCCCCGTTTGTATTACAGTAAACATAGAGGAGCTCCTCAGGGCACTAGTTTGGTGTTATACAATGGTTGACCTTGCGGCACGTTATGACCCTGAACGATTCCATGAACTGCTGCACCATGTAAGCATCAGTGAACACTTCAAATTCCAAGCTGGTTGCGGTAGATGTTGCAGCTCCGCTTTGGAAGGATACACCTTTGGGCACTCATGACCGCTCTGAGGCTCCTCATCATGAGCCCGCTGAACTATCTTTTTGGCCATGGCTCTGCTGAGCAAACCGGGGACAACCTCAGCCGGATCGCCATGGGAAATGTGCCTGGGCAGATGACATCCAGTGAAGGGCAAATCTTGGAGAGAGGTGACTCGAGGGAAAGGATGGAGAGGGTTCAGAGAGGATCATTGAATGCTATTTACACATCAATATCAGCTCTAGCCAAGGTCTAGTCCAGAATGCTGCGGAATGTGTACATACATTACATTACATTACATTACATTACATTACATTACATTACATACATACAAATACGTTTGTGTGTGTGTTTTGCATGGCTGGGGACAGCCCTCAGCCACATTGCCCATGTATTCCCGTTGGATTGGTGCTCTTTTGCACTATGTTTGACCTTTTTGCATACACACTTCCTCAGATGGTCGGCATGTTCATCGCCAGCGTGCTAAGTCACTGCAGGTTGCGATAAGTCACCCTTGGCTGTACTACATCTACGGTCCCATCACCATCGCAGTGGCGTGGCCGAACTGGAGAAATCCACCGATGCCGCCAAGCACTGATTGCTTTGACGCAACCAAGGTGGTTTGGATCGTCCGCCGGGAGACTTTCACTTCGATGCGACGCTTTTGTGAGTCCCGCTTCATTTGGATGAAACACTTGAAAAATCCGCAGGCGGGATATATCAGAATGGGATGAATGATGAATGGATAAAAAGGATAAAATGTGGTTGATGGGGACGTAACAATCCAGTGAATCCATATAGACACAGGATTGGTCCTCATGGAGGACGAAATATGATTGGGCGTTCCGTTTGGGAGTCCAGTCCCCACACGTGCCGCGGGCTTTGTGGGTCACTTGGTCACATCATCCCTGAACTTTGGAGCTCCAGGCCTCGACGGTGATGGTGGAGGGCATCCCAGACGAGTACCAGTCGGATGAGAAGGCGCGAGACTACAGTACTCGTGCCATACACGCGCATACATATGATATATATATATATAATACAATATTTTTCTTCGTGTCTTTTACACCTGCAAGCTCTCTAGCCCTTTTGGCTGTTGAAAAGCGTCGGCAACGTTCGTTGCTCTGCTTGATGTCCGCCACATCTCTTTTTCAAAGCTTTGCTCGCTGCAAATCCTTCATGATGCGGGATGGCATGTGACTGGCATTCCAAGCAGACCACCTTCCCACCCTTTCTCCACAATGAATGGCTGGGGTGACCTTGCCAGTCAGCTTGTGGTTCCCACACCTGGTTCCAGCAAGTGGACAAAGCGAGCGTGGTGAGCTTGTCTTGGGCGGAGTTTCTCAAAGTTCTTCCATTGCAGCTGGTGCAAACCACACAATGAGTCTGCAAAACAAACGTGTGGTCAGCCATGCCAGGAAGTTCGCCAGCTATCATGTGCTGGATCAACGTGGCTTTGGATTGCTTGTTGTCGCCTCCCTTCACCACCACTTCAACTGCGGCCTGGCAGTTTTCATCATGGATCTGTTGAAGCGCATCATACTTGAGGTGTTTGGTGATGCGCTTTTGACACTTCAGGCATTGCAAACCCCTCGGCCGCTCTTGCCACTGGTGCTGCTGAGGTCCGGACTGGTTGCCAATGTCAAGGAACAACTTGGACTTTCGTTCTTGAGCAAGTCTGCGAGTTTCCCTTCCTTTTTGCCGAGCCTGGTGCAAGAAATGATCGGGGCTTTCCATGAGATGCCTGATCCTCTTGATGGCCAAGTGAGCAATCTTGGCATACCGTTTGTCTGCGACCTTCATCTCGGCTTCAAGCTCTTCAGGTCTCAAAGAGAGAGCTATTTCCTTGGCAACCTTGTTGGCGTCCCTCATTCTGGCCTGAACTGTGAAAGGTCCAGGCGGCATGTCATTGACCTGCTTTCTCGTCAAGCTGAGAGGGCGAATCCGGCTCCGTTGGGCTGGAGTCACCAAACTATTGAGGTCGTAGAAGCGCTCATGGTGCTTACCATTGACCCATGCCTCCCAGGCTCGGATGGAGAGCACTTGCACTTTCACCTGCATCTGGAGGTCAACATAGTGGGCTATCATCCTCAAACCATAGAACCAAGCCCTCTCCAGGGATTGATGCCCCGGCAACACCGTTGTCACCGCTCCCTTTCGAAACAACTGGCCATTGAAAGCCGTGTGGTGGACAATGGCCACAACAAAGTATTTGAGGCGCGGGTCAGCACTTGTCACCCCGATCCCGATGGTGACCACCTCATGACCAACCAGCTTGACCTCATCATGAATGGTCCAGGAGCCCCAGCTTTGGATCGCCGCGCCACCAGTTGAGAGCTCGTATCTTGGCAGCTGCATCAGGCCTTGTGCCCAAAACTCCAAATTCATGCCCTGCTCAATTTCATTCTTGTCCTCAATGTCCAGGGGCGCAAAGGCCTTTTGAGTCTCTGGGCACAACCAAAGAAGGTGTATCATCGTAGCCGCTTGGTGACAATGCGGGCACATCAACTGGGTGCTCTCCTCTTGGTCGGCACATTTTGTGAAAATGGAGCCCTGATGCCAAGTTTGGAGTGCCACATTCTGACTCTTTGTCAACTGGCGCGAGAGTCTCCTCCACGGCAACCAATCTAATGGCTGCTGCAGTTCCTGAAACATCTGCCTTTGATTGAGTTTCATGACAATCTCCCATTTGTGAGCTCGTTCCAGCTCTTGCTTGAGATAGAACCAATCAGCATGCATGCTCAACTTGAACTCTGGTTCGCCATTTGGGCTAGGCTTTGTCCATTCGTCCGGCTTGTCAATGTTCCAGCCTCTCTCCAGGAGGTAGCATTGTAAGGCACCGACAGGGCCCTTGGCATGCTGCCAAGGATACTTCACTTCTGTGAGTTTGGCCCGCTGGACTTGCCATGCTTTGGCAAGGTCTTTGGCCAAGGATTCCGGCCAGTTGCCGTAGAAACGTCGGTAGAGCCTCACCTGGTCTGCGAAAGCGCCAAAATCCGGATCACGATGTCTTGGTTGCATGCTGAAGACAATGTCGACGCTACCCGTGCGATGGCATCCCATCTGACGTGCCATGGTGGCACGAATGCGTCGGCGAACCTGCGGTGCCAGACCCATGGCCTCATGGCCCCAGTTGATGCCTGCAAGGATACTGCTCTTGTACAACTTGAGGCGGATAGCCCGATTTGGGATCTTCAGGCTAGTCATCTTGACCGTCTTCCTGCCAGCTTTCTTGCGTCGAGAGCGCATGGTTTGAATGCGTCGGAGTCGCCCTGCTGTGCAGTCTATGCCAAGATCCCTCATCACATCATGAACCTTGGGCCCCCCTTCAGTGAGCTGTTGCTGCAAAATGCGCTTTGCCGTGGTGTTGGAGACAATGAAGCCCGTCTTCTGTGGGGAGACTTTCAAATTGTCCTTTTCAAGTTCCGCCTTGACAAATTCATACGCCGCAATGGCTATCCGGGCAGCATTTTGCGGGTTTCTGTCAACAACATCAAAACTGAAATCATCTATCCACAGGTCTGAATGCAGCTGAGGGTATTTTTTTTGGAACGCTCGTAGTGCTCTCTGCAAATATACCTTGGCTGCAAGAGGTGCCTGAGGGTCACCAGCCAAGATGCCATGGGTAGCCCACAGCGGGCGGGATGCCTCTCCTTCAGCTTCGAGGATTCGTTGTCCACTGTAAACCTGAATTGCCAGAGCCGCATGAGTGGCAGGGTAGGATGAGTCCAGCCATCTCTCCGTAAGTTTCACCAGATCAATCCGGTCATAGAAATTGGACATGTCAAGCAATACAGAAATCACCGTTCTGTTGTGGGCTGCATGGTGCTCGGTCATGAAAGCCCTTTTCAAGGCAACCTGCAGACATTCTGTGCCTGGCACTGCTCGCTCCCAAGGATACTCATCTTGGATGTTTCTTGACCATGTTTTGGTTTGATCACTGCGCACCCGGCACCAAAGTCTGTACAGTGTTGCAACCAAGGCGATGGGCCTTTCGATGACACTGGATTTAGGGATCAGCGCTATGAGCGCTGTCCCCCATTGGCTTGGGATCATGGCCTGTGTTTCAATGCTGTGAAAAAGCTCACGAAGGTCTTTCATCGCAGCAAACGGCAGAGCCTTCAACATGTCAAAACCAATGCCATCTAAACCTGCCGCCTTGACACTGAGCGACTTGATCGTTTTCCAGATGTGCCCATCAGAAAGGAAAGGCAACTGTGAAGCTGCCTGTTGACCTTTGTTGATCAAAGCCTCAAGTTTGCCGATCAGCACAGGCCGGTCTTGTATTTGCCAAATCTCGCCCCATTGCTCAATCCTCTTTGGCATTCTCTCAAGTCGGGGAAGGTTCTGAAAAGGTCTCATGTAGGGAAGCTCATCTGTTTTCAAAGTGCGGAACAGCCCTCTACAGCCCTTGGCTGTGGCTGTGGCCAGCCAGTGCCGGTACTCTTCAGTCTCGGCTTGAAAGCTAGTGGCCTGATGGAGCTCTCTCTGTGCTTTGGCTTGCTCGAGGAGAACATAGATGTGTTCATCTCCATGTTTGTACCACAACATCTCAAAGAGGCTGACAAATCCTTCCATCTTATGGGCAGAGTCCGGATGCCAATGAGCATGGATGTGCCACCCCAGTTTTTGCAGCTGGCTCTGATGTCTTGGTGCCCTGTCTGTGTTGTGTAGCAGTTGCTGCAAGCGGACTTCAATCTGTCCCCAGTACGCCATGCTGCCACGTTTCCACAACCAAGGTTTGCTAGCATCATTCAGTGGTCGCTGCACATACTTCAAGGTCGTTCCCCGGCCAACGGTCGGATTGTCTAATTGCTGCAGCGCATACCTCTCAATGCGATTGCACAAAGCTCAAACTTGTTGGGTCAAAGGGTCACTGATTTTCTGGAGCCACTCAACTTCAACCGGCTGTTCAACGATCTGATGCCATTCCTTTTCCGGTTTGTCCAGCTTGGGCGCTGGTCCAAATTTTGTCAATTGCCGGACTGACAGGTCTTCAAAATGTCCATCAATGCAAAATTGTAGCATGGCATGCGGCTTGAAAGGGACAAACCAATTGGTCTGGATGCTCATGTCAGCTATCAAAGCTGTGGAGACCAACGCCCAATCGAGCTCATTGCCTGTGTTGCAAGTTTCTTCACCCGTTGCTAAAACCTGAACCTGCATGTGCTGAGCCAAGGTTGTAGTCATGAAAGTTTCCGGAGAGATGTTGAAATCTCCCATCACCACGACCGGCTTTTGCAGACTAGTGATGAAGGAGAGCAGGCCCGCCCACAGCTGCGCATTGGTGGACCCTTGCAGTCCTTCACCACATTTGAAATAGGCCATGATGAGCACAATGTCACTGTGAGCAAATGACCACGTGACCTCATACCACCCACAGCCATCAATGACTTGCTTCTGGACAAAATGAAAATGCAAGTGGTTGGGAAAGACCATCAACATGCCTCCATACGTGCCGCCCTTCAAACTCTCGGCGGCAGGCTCCCCTAAAGTGCCATAGCCCCTGGTGGTGAGCCACTGCATGGTTTTCTCATGATCAGCTCTGGCAAGGTGGGTTTCAACAAGAAACGTGGGCACTCGTGTCTTGCTGAGCAGCCATTGCCGTACCGGTTGACCCATGGAAGTGACATTGGCAAAGTCAAAGTGCAAACCTTCTTGTTTCCTGCGTTTTGGAGCTGAGACTTCAACACCAAAATCCATACTGCGTGGGTTGACATCACACTGCAAATCTCCAGGGAGGAGGTTTTCCGATGGCACCGCCCAAACCTGAACAATTTGTTGCTTTGTCGTGTTCTGAATCTGAGGCAAAACCCTTGGGAACGAACCATCATCTACAATCCAGCTCAAACCTCTGTAGATGAACACCGCATAGTAGTGCCCATGTTGGTGATCTTCCCCATCATGGCACAAGTAGCCGATGACCGAGTATTGCCTGGTTCTTGTTTCATTGCCGTCAAGCGTGACCGGCAGGTTGAAGATCGACGGCACTTGCAAGGGTCTGTGGTGCTTCGTCCAAGCTCCTCGAACCTTGGCATATCTGCCAATTTGAGCAACCCACAAGCCATGCCCGTCAAAGACTTGACCTTCTTGGGAATTTGCCCATTCTGCAATCCAATGCTCAAGTTCTTCTGGTCCCTGTTCATCAGGGTAAATCAAATGGACAGGAAATGACCGCTTGTAGTGAACCTGGTGTCTGAAATCAACCAGGTGGTACCCAGTGATGACCTGGGTGGTTTTGGCCAACTCCACAAGTTCCTGCAGGAAATGCGAGGCATCATCTTGTTGTTGATCATTGAATTGCGTCCACAAAGGTGCCAGTCTGATTCCAAAGCCTGGCCCCGCCCATGAAGCTTCCTGCCCATGCCCACAGGCGGAAAGCGGAGTTGGCGTAGCACCGATTCCTGGGATTTCCCAGGCGGCATTGGAGATTCTGCATGACAAAATCCAGAGAGCTCATAGGTCCTCTAGGGTTTGCATCCCGGGAGGGCTGCATGTCTTCATCTTCACTAGCAGTCACCACTGTAGTCTCATGGTGCCCTGCTCCCCACAAAAGCCAGGATAGAGACATCCTGAATCTTGCGCCAGCTCGGAAAAAACTGGCATGCCCCACTCAGAGCCGGCTGCCATGGAGAGCGCCGGACCTGAGCCAAAATCTACACAACCACATTCCTTGCCTCCGCTATGCCCCAAGTCAAAGTCAAAAGAATTGGTTGTTCTTGCCCCTGCTTCAAAGCTTCTCATGTTGGAATTGTTACCCACACTTTCTTCTTTTCGCCGCGCTTTCAACGAGTTTGGCCGCCAGATCTTTGACCTGGCTCGCTGTTGCCTGCAAGCCCACATTGGCCATAGCCGTGATGAGGGCTTCCGGCGAAAGTTCTTCTGCCATTTCATCAGCATCCTGTTGCTTCTCTTTCTCAAGCTGCTGGTTGTACTGAGTGGTAGTGGTTTGAAGCTCCTTTTGAGCTACTTCAATCTTCCCCTGCAGCTCCTTGAGATCCTGGAGAAGTTGTGAGTATTGTGCCTTCACGACATCGACTTTGTTCTGCAAAGCCGACTTCTTTTCTGACAGCTGTTTCAAAGTTCCAACTGCCTGCTTGACTTTCGTGGACAGGGTGGGTTCTGGCTTGTCAGGCTCAACAATCTTCTCTACTGCTTCTTTCAAGTCTGTTGGCAAACTCTGGAGGTGCTCTTTGATCAAGGTTGGCAAGTCCTGGGACACCGGCGGCTCCGTCACTTGCCACCCCAATGCCGTGCACTGGGTCCGAAATGCCTCCGGGAGTTGGTCCCAGTGCTCCTTGAGGGCCTTTTGCAAACCTCCTCCATCTTTGCCTTTCTTGGGTCTTTTGGCCTTGTGGCCTCCTTGGAGTCCCGGTGGCGCCTCCAGGAGGGCATCCTTGTAGGTCTTCTTGGGCCAACGTGCTCCATTGCCGTTGAAGTTCCATTTTGCCCATGACACCTTCCGTCTCAAATCAGGAAGCAAAGTCGCCTGCCATGGTTCTCCGCACTGATTGCATTGCATGTTGGGCTTATTGATCAATCGATCCTCCCAAATCCAACTGCAGCGGCAGTGCTCACACACTTTGTAGTGCCTCCTCATGGAGCTTGTCGCCTTCCTCGATCAGGCCTGCGTGCTCCTCTGGCACGTGGTGTCCGTGACCGTCTGGTCTGCCACTGTATCCGAAGGATACAGGGCTTGATGCTGAAATGGCTTGAGCCATATAATACAATATATATATATAATTTATGTGTTTTCCTTGACAGATTTATATATACATATACCATACAATTACATGTGCCCCGTACCTGAGTACAGGAACGATTCCTAAGCGATTTTGAAGGGACTTGCTTTTCTATCACATTTTGGAGTGATGCCGAAGAGCCGCGATTGAGGATACATATAATTGTTGCATATATAGATGACCAGACCGACAGCTACATCCGTTTGAGATTAAACTAGAGACAACAAAAGTTACACGGAAAATGCATTGCAAGTTTGAAAACATAGCATAAAGTAAAGCATTTGAAGGGCCTTGTCCAATGAAACAACAGATCAAACAAGCGATGCCAATATATTTTGCCGCTCCATACCAGTTGCTCATGGGATCGAAACACGGTTGCTCGGTGGAAGTGCGTTCCACAGGAAAGATCTATATAAGCGTCACGGACTTACCCTCGAAGCAAATAACGGACAGAGCCCCAAGTGTTGCGCAAGAAAAACAAATTCCCAAAGATATTCTGAGTGTTGCAATGGCGGGTGCCAACTAAGAAAGCGGTTGCAGCTGTAAAGGAAACATAACACGGAAGAAAAGGACAACAAATCATTCACCGCTCAACAGAGATATATAATTAGGGGCCCCTGGTGATTGCAAAAGAAGCACTGGCCCAATGTGGGAAGGCTTTGCTTAGTTAGTGTTTTGTTAACGACTATAGTGTTAGACAGAAGCGCAGGCCAGGAGACCACTTAGCGCCAGCAAAGTCCCATCTCTGAGTGCAGACATAAACAGCTACATAAAGTCCCATCTCTCACCTGGGGCCGACAGCATTTAGGGTTTTAGGATCAGGGTAACACGCAGCGATGAGATTTCCACCCCACTAAGCAACAGAATTCTAAAACGTATGGAGCACCGGCCTCACCCAATGCCACTGGTGAAGAGGTGAATGTCGGGTTCTCGCAGGTGAAAGAGTACTTCAGCCGTATGTTCAGCAAGGACTCCATCAAGGCCCGAGTGCCTGAGTCTCTCTTTGCGTGCTTGATGGGCAAAGTCAACCTTCCACTGCTGTTTCCATGCCAAAAATCGACGGAACGACCATTGTTTCACATCGGCGACCTTCTTCCGTGCTCATTCCGTTCTCATCCGAGCGCAGGCAGTTCACGTGGCCAAGCACATCTCCCAGCTGGAGACCGTGTATGCTGAGCTGCGAGACGCCATGATGAATTTGGCCAAGGCACGGCATTGGTGAAACTGATGGGGTGAAATGTTTGATCAACAAATGATCAGACACAACATGCAAATGATACTGTATATTGTATGTTCATGATTGTCAAAAAGTGAATTTTAGGCGCATGTGCCCAGATGCACTGTCACTGGAGCCACAGAAAGTATCACTGCAGACTGTTTGCGGTGAACCTTGGCTTGGCTGGCCAACACAAATAGAAGCAAGCCTTGCTGTGAACCTTTCAATTGCAGCGCTTGCAATGATCTCTCGCAGGCTGAGCAGGAATGGGAGAATGCCGGGCGTGAGGTGCTTTTCTGTTAGGGACAGAAAGTTGGGCAACACCATGGAAGTCGTCGCGTCATGGAAGTCATTTGCTCTATCCAAGCATGCTCAACGAATTCGGGGCGTGTTCCTGCTGGTTTCGGTAGGACCAAGCGTTTGAGCCTGCAAGGCTGAGAACCGGCCCCAGATCAAGAGTATGATGAGCCCCATGGGCGGTGGGGCTGAGGATGCCATCGAGTACTGGACCAAGCAAAGGGATATCAAGCAGATCTTTGGCGCAGTCGTAAGAGTGCACTCAAACCTTGGTCACAGAATGCCAGAAGAAAAGAAACAACATACAGAACTTTTCTCATGGTTTTGAGTCCCAGAACCGTTGGGGTTGCGGCAGATCAGATGTCTAGCCAGTCGCGTTTTTCTCAAGGAAAGAGGCGGCTGAGTACCGAGAGAACTTTATCAAGGACCTGCGGCCGTCATGTTGAGAGGATTTGCCTGAAAGAGAGAGAACCCTGTAGTTCCTCAACAAGTATCAAAGGTCTTGTAGGCTTGAGCTTCCGGAGACCTCCTTGACAGGTAAGCGGGACTCATCAAAAACAAGCTGCGAGGCGCTTGTGACTCGACGATATCCTGCCGCAGGGGAAGACAAAACATTACAAAACCATAATATTGATATGCCTCCAAACATCTCCAAACGCAAATTTATTCCAGACATTGTCCCTTCCAGTGTTATTTTTGACACCTCTTTGTGGGTTGCCATGTGTGGGACGTAGGAGGGGATTGGTTTGTTGGCGAGCAAGCTGCTCCTTCGCAGGATGCTGAAGCTGGGGTTGGTGGTGTGAATGGCCACTGCGGCTTTGTCACCTTCAATGATGTGAGAGATGCACGTGTTGCGATGAATGTGAAGTCGCTTGGTGGGAGTGATTGACAGCGGAAGCGGAACATGGCATATGGTTGGTTCGGGAGCCGACCGCAAGTAGACAAACCGCAAAGCTTGTGTTGAACCATGTTGGATTGGTTGGAACCTTCCCCTTTCGGTGTTTACTCTCCGAAGGTTTAACGCTCTAGGTTCAGAACACCAAGTACATAGTCTTGCACATGACGCTTCTTGTTCGTGTCATTGAGCTTGCACCGATCTCAGTGGGACATCATATCGGGGGTACCATATCGTCATCGGACATCATCCGACCTCCGGACCTCCGACGTGACGGATCGCAATTCTCAGGTTCTCCAAGGATCGGAATTCTTGGCAAGTCACACTTCCGCCGGCTCCTTCCGAATCTGGGCGAGAAAAGGGGTCGAGGGACGGTGAAAAAGAGATCAGATCGTGCAGGATTTATTGGGATGCTGGTTGCGATCATCATCATCAACATCATCATCATCATCATCATCGTTCAGAAGGGTCTAAGTAGGCTAACAGCCCCGTGATTTACTGCACTATGGTTCTGTACAAGGACTCCTGAGCATGCGTACAAGAGGAAATGTTTGGTGTTCTAAAATCTGATCTCACCCTATCTTGAAAAATCTGTAACAACATGAGGATCGTGAGGACCTTTATGCTTTTGAAGTCTCTTCGGCACCTATGTACCCGTGCGCCATCCTGGCGTAGCCACTGCGCGATGCCGAGGCAGTGATTTGGTCTGATATGAAGGTAAACGTGGATTTGCGCAGTGGTGACTTGGCAGTTTCAGCTAAACCAAAGCTTGAGTGAGCATGAGCGAGAAGCTTTTTTCCCGAAAAGATGCGATTGATGTTGATGGGTGTCACACTTGGGCCCTGCAAGCTGACAAGTTGCTAATGCTATGGGCATGCACCGGAAGGGAGAGGTGCATTTGTTTGATATTGGAATACTTAGCAAATTATAGACTAATCTTCATGGTTGATATGGTTGGGGGCTTGCAGCTCATTCTTTTTGCCGCAGATTGTTGGCAAAAGGAAACGCGTGCAAGGTATATAGTATAGCCCTTGCTTTGATCGGCAAGCGACAGAGTGTGGAACAATTGGATAGGATTCCCGTGCTGCAAGTCGAGGTAAGCGATTGCTTGGATATGGCTTGGTCTTCGGCCTCTACGTGGCCTTCACACCTTTCTGCCTGTTCGCGACTAGTCAGATTCATTCTTTGGGACGGCATGGATGCATGATGCATGAGTGATTGATCAAAAGTAAAGTGTTTCTCACCAGCTACTACCTTTGGAAGCGATTTTGTTGGATAGTAGGAATATGGTGGAACTCGTGTCGTAGCAACCTCCCTGAAGACTTTGCGGGTCAGAAGATCCTCATGGGCCCTCTTTGGAGGAGGGATAGGTTGAGTTCAAGAGCTGTCGAAAGTCCCCTCTCGACCAGTCCATGTGTGACGAACACACAAACTAAACATATTATATATTATATATATATTAATTCATACACTTGATTTATATATTTTCCATATTGATGGCATACTCGGACATATCACAATCACACAGTACAGAGAGCTTTGGTGCATCAATGCTTTGATGAGGACATCCTCTCATTTGCCAGTCTTACTCCTACCTTGCATTGAGCACAAGTGTGGGACAGTCCAACCGGCCGCCGAAATGACACACATTTGTATCATTTGTTGCGGTCGAGGTGACGAACTTGGCAACTGCTGTGAATCTGGGCCCCTTCCAGAGCCTTTGGGAGGCGGAGTCCCGGGAACGGATCATCGGATTGCGCTACTAGGAGCAAAGGGCATCGCTGCTAGGAGGACGCTACTAGGGGCTCCTGGCCTCGCTACTGGGAACAATGTTCGCTACTAGAGGCTCCTGGCCTTACTACTAGTAACAAGAGGCTATAAGAAACGATGCGAGGTCTTTCTGCGAAAGATCCGTCACCAGAGTCCACGTTGCAAAGTCCCGGCGATAAGGTTTGTCAGTCGACCCGGGGAGTTCACCTGTCCCAGGCCTATGCGCCCACCTTGGGCCTTTTGATCTTCCTGTCCTTCGCGCCAACGGTGTGCCCTCCTTGACTTGAAGCGCCAAGCTGCAGGGACATAACATTACGCAACATAAACACGAAGCCCTTACAGATGTGAACAGACCGAGCGTCGCCAGGTTTTAATCAACATCTTCTCCTTGCTCTTCAACTTCAAGTCGGAGGTCAAGAACCAACTAGAGCTTCAGAATCTGAGCTTCAACTTGGCCATATTGATCTCTGAATGTTGTGCACTCTTTCTGCAAGCAGTCATCACTCAAATCTCATCGAGGAATTGGTACTTCTGGTTCATGGTCTTCTTTGTGATCGGTGTCACAGTGGTAGGCGGGAAGAGCTTCGATGGCACAGGTCAAAGTTGTCGATTGAGCCAACCCATTTGACAACCAGGCATTGCCAGTGAGTATCGGTGAGTTTCCTTCACGCCATTTGGCCCAAGATTTGAGACGTGACAATTGGACCTCCACCACAGGATCTCCGCTCATGAAGGTTTCAGCCTTTCTCCTTGTGCTAGCGCTCGCGGCGCTTGGCATTCCAGTCCACAGCGAGGGTCCAGCAAAGCACCTTCGTGGAGAGGCAGCACGCGAATCGGTCAAGCAGCCCGAAGCCTTGAAAAGCACTGAGGGACCACACACAGGCAGTGAAGGTTCGGAAAGTGAGCTTGAACCCCAAAAACCAGAGCCAGCACAAAATCAACCTGGTCCTGATGGCGTAGGAGTTCCAGCAAAGGAGCTTGAGACCAAAGCACCAGAGCAAGGTGAGACGGCGGAGCCAAGTGTAGCTGGAATTCCTTCGAAAGAGACTGAAAAGACTGAGACCAACCAGCCAGAAGGTCAAGAGACAGCGGAAGCAAGTCAAATCGGCGTTCCGGCAAAGGAGATTGAGAACAAGAATGCGGAACAGGATGAGACACCCGAGCCCAGCGAAACTGGAGTTCCGTTGAAAGAGACCGCCGCCATGAAGCCAGAGGGCCAAGCATCACAACATGTTGAGGCTGTGAAACCAAGTGCCATTGGCGTTCCGGCGAAGGAGGCTGAAGCACAACAAAGTGCCAAGGTTCAAGGACCTGCGCCTAGAACCCCAGGTGCACCCAAGGAGGAAGATGAAGATGAGCCCTTTGAAGATGGTGACTGGGAGTGGGATGATGTCGAACTCTGGGGAGCTCCAGAGCCATGGGAGTGGGAGTGGGGTGCTGTGGATGGGCCAGATCCATGGGAGGAGGCTCCATGGATTCCATACAGCTATGCAGCAGGGCGAGACGGCCCAGAAAATTGGGAAAGCCAAAGTGTGGGGGCCGATCTGGAAGAGACAGGAAAAGAGGCAGAAAAGCCGATGGAGACAACGGCAACAACCGGTTTGAAAGAGGTCACCACCCCCGGTGCCCCAAATGCTCCGATGCCCAGATCCTTTGTTTCTCGCCCCGGGCGTGGCGGCGGCCGCCGTGGAGGCCGGCGGGGAGGAGGTCGCCGTCGCCCCGGTCGTCGTTGGGGTCGCCGACGCCCCGGTCGTGGTTGGGGCCGGCGAAGGCCTTACCGCCCCATCTATCGTCCACGCCCCTACCGTTATCGGCCGGGCTACTGCCCATACTGGCCCTACTGTTGGTGAACGATTTAGTGGCTGCTCGCACAGGGACCTTACGGGCAAGCATGCACGACGATACAGAAGTCTGTCGCTTTCAAAAGTTTTAAACGGCCACAAGAGCATTTATTGAATGCACTGTGCATAGACAGTGTAACTTTTGAGCAGTTTAGGCTGCCAATTCACTTGCAGGGTATAGTTTAGAATTGGAAGCTTGATTTGCTAGATAAGCAGCGCATGTGTTTTTACAATTGAAACCTTGCGCTCGCTTTTAGTGAAGTGTAAAGGTTCCAGCAAGCTTCTTGCAATTTGAGAGCAGACAGAAAATGAGTCTCCCATCATGCGGGACTGTTTGAATTTCTCCCCCACCGTGACAAACGCAAAAGATAGATCGGCGGACCTGCATGGACATCAGAGGCATTCAGACCCCTACAGGCCAAGATTTTGTGAATTTCGTGGAGCAAGTCGCGAAGCAGCCAACACAATTGCCCATGGTCTTGGCGGAGAAGCAGCTTTAATGCGATTGGAACAAGCTAAGCCAAGCCAATGGTTGCCATAGTTGTAGTTGCTGCAATGAAGAAATTGTTGTGAGCGCGATGTGCAACATCAGGATGCCAACCTCCACACACTACTACTTGAACTTCTTGGTGCTGCAGTGGGTCACCCATGCCATGAACCTTACCCGCTATATGCAGGCTGCCCCACTGGCTTGGAGTCAGGGTGTCTTCGTGAGGCTTCTTTGTGGCTGGTGGGAAGTACAGCAGTTGAGCACAATCTCCCACTCTGCCACATGTGGGCTGTGTGAGGCTTCTACGTGTGCGCACGTCCATGTGCTATATATGTGAGGGCGACCCGACCGTACCCACCGGACCGTTCTCCCGAGGTGACCAAGTTCGTGGGCTTCTCCAAGATTTGGAGTGAAGATGACGCCCGCGCACTCGCAGAGCCTGAGGATCAGGTCGGGAGTGGGACAGGGAGAGGCAAAATCGCGGGCAATTTGATGCAATTTGGAATCTCGGGGACGGGTTGTTTTAGGGAGGCTGTATGGGAAATGATCTGTTGAAGTTGAGTAGCTTTAGTGGGCAAGAGGTACGGTTACAGATCTGGTTGAATGATGCCTTAGCTGTGGTGCTGTGTCATACTCTGTCGCGTAAAGTGTCGCGTAATTAGTGAACACCAAGAGTAGCCAAAAAGTTGTGTCAAAGAAGCCCTGGTGAGGGCTGGACCCATCTTCACTTGTGAATCCGACATTCCCGATTCAGACGTGGCAGCTCCAGGATTACTACGGCATGGGCTCCAGGACCGACAAATGACCGGATTCAGACCAGTTGGGGTGTGGCTCTTAATTATGGCGAGGCTGTTGTTTTGGTGCCGTCTTGCCATGGGATGCCATGGGCAATGCCACCTCCCGAAGAAGTGGCTGCAGATCACACACCACTCACCAGGCTATAACATGCTATAACTATAAATATTGTAGTGTATTAAGCCCACCATGTGCAACAAAGACCAGCGTGGATGGAGATGGTGAGATGAGAGTGAACTTCTCAAACAGCCACCATCTGTCAAAGCGGCCTGTTGTCTAGTCTGAGTGTGACAAGTATGCCCAAAGCTCTTGGTCGTTTTTCTTTTCTCAATGTTTTAAGTCTCGACTTCTTCGGAGATGCACGTCCGTTCAGCATTCGGCAGCTCCCGGTTGAAAGCACCCCCAGCGCTCGCATCATGGAAACGCCAGCGCTCGCAAGCTTCGTGGCCACCAGAGTCTTGGCGGAGCAGTGGGAGCTGAGGGGCACTATGGGGCACTAGGGCAGGGACTTGTCATTTGAGGTCCAGGAAGTATTAATCATTTGTCATATGATGGATGGAGAACAAGGGAACATTCTGGTGCACACAGGTTGCTCATTGTTTTCCCAGGTGGTCCATGACTTACCCTCATTTGCTTTCCATGGTGAAGCCTGTTCTTGAAGTGATCCCCCTTTGACAAGCCATGACGCGTCGTCCCAGAAGGGACCTGTTCACCAAGTTCCACCGTGTCAGGCAACAAGGTGAAGTCCGAGAAGGTGAAGGGCACTGTGACGGAGCTGGGTGTCATTCTGCAAGAGAGCAGGACTTTGAAGAAAGCCTTTGGTAGCGAAGTGGCTTGGTCACCGGCATTTGGTTCAAGATGAGAAGAAGTTGGTGGAAGCCCTGCAGAAGTTGGGTCTTGGAAGCCCTGCCCTAAGATAAAGGAACCCCTATGAATTAGTCACTGCACTGTCATTAGGTTGTGATGTTGCTCCCCTTTGTGCAGAGTTTGGCATTCATGTAGGCGCAGATCAAATCTCCCTCCCTCCCTCCCTCCCTCTCTAATCTAAGAGCAATGGCCTCCAACCTAATCGCAATGAACAGGGAGGGAGGGAGGGAGGGAGGGGGAGAGAGAGAGAGAGATCAAATTTGTTCAATCATTCAGTGCCGGGACCAAAACTTTCTTTGAGGACGTGATTTCCCGTCGCAAGATGTTGGGGAAAGAGCCTGAAGAGAAGGAGGTAGAGAAGAGGCCAATCATCATCCAACATTCAGGCTTGTCGAATCTAGCAGCTGGAGTTTCACAGGTTTCTCAGAGATTCCTTTGATTCCCTTGTTCATCGGAAGTCTAGCTGCAGTGTTCCCATTCAGTTCATTTTGAAATTCTAGATGATTTTAGAACTTCTCAGTTCTTGCCAGGCACTATCAGCGAACGCCCCTCGAACCACATGTTGCCTGCACAATGGGGCCTTGTGTCCACAGTCTTCGAGGCTTACAATCACCATCACGAGCTGGTCTTGCGACCCGATGATTTCTGGCAAGCTATCCTCACACAGCTCCTCAGATGCTTTGGTTCCATGTGATCCCTGAGATTGTTGGATAGTGTGTCCCACCTCAGGAATGCCACAATCGAAATGGATTGTTGGATGTTCTTAAGATTTGTTTGGTACTTTGATTCCTGAAATCACTTGATTGGATATTGTCCCCCAGTCAACCCCCCCTAAAAAGCTGCATTCAAAGCGCAAAACTGAGGATGTCCTTCTACATCCAAGCCCGGGCAGAAGCCTTGAGAGAGCGCTTCGTGGATTTCAAAGGCAGAGCCAATCCCACTCGATCCACTCCACACATCACATAGCGATGCCCTTTGCTCCTAGTAGCTTCTTGCTCCTAGTAGTAAGGCCAGGAGCCCCTAGTAGCGTCCTTGCTCCTAGGCTTCATGCAAAGCCTGAGATTCCTTCAATAAAGGACATTGTTCCACCGTCAACGTCCAAATTGATGTTCTTTTCCACGAATCCTGGGCCAGCCCTCTCCTGCAACTCAAAGCCTAAAACCATGGCGTTGCACCGTTGCACGGCGTTCATTTACGCCGAACTCACAAGAACTTTGGTGTGGTGTGAGGCAAGAAGACCTTGGTGATTTACATGATGGGCACACTCTTCACAGCCGATTTTGGGAACTTCGCCCTTGCCATGGCTGCATCTTGATGAGCATGGGTTCACTTTGCATTAGTAGAACACTAGCTGCCAGCTGTTTGGAGTCTTGACATGCGAAATGTGACGGGTGAAGACTCAGTCGACCGTGTAGCTTTGAGCGTTGGGACTTCTAGATCGAAGTCGACGGTGTACGGCTTCAGATATCCTCAGGACAAGATCGCGGAGAATATCAAGGATCCTGAAATGGCCAACTGGCACCCTGTCATACTGTACCGTCTCCACTGTGAAGAATCTTCACAGGTCCAGAAGTGTGAAGAGGTATGTGGAAAGTGGTGGTGGGAGCATGTTTTGTGTGCCAAGCTTTGTTCATCCAAGGCTGTTGCCCAGCTTTACCACAACGACCGCCAACGACCGAATAGCAGCTTCGGTGACGATGATGTCCACTTTGCAGGCCTACTTCGAGTATGTATGCTGTTTGATGTGCGGCATTCCCAAGGCAGGCTGCGTGGGGGCGGATGCAGGAAGTCAATTGGTTGATGTTGCACAAACGCAAGGTGCTCACTAAGCTCTACACTCACACCCTGTTGATTTTGTTTGCAATCTCAACCCATCATAGCTGAGAAAAGCAAACCTGCGACTACCAGGCTTCTGTTTTAAGGCTTCAGCAGGTATATAAATTAAAGCAGTCAGACAACTTGACAACTCGTCCTTGCTGGGGCAGCTTGTCAGAATGCAGATCTCCAACTCACGCAGCTGGCATGCCGAGTCAGGTTACATTGTTGGGCAAAGTTGAGGATTGGCTTCAATTGCGGGTTGCTGTGCTGCAAAGAGCTTGGCAAAGCAAGCCGTGGATTTTGTACTGGGAAGGGTGTCCGGCGAGGTGCAGTCGGAAGAAATGGCTACCTTATCATAGATAAGTGGAATCGAAAGCGCGCGTCGATAGAATGTGCCTTCGGTTCGTAGCTGGAGGCTCAAAGAGCAGGGTGGGGCCAGGAGACGGCATGGAGCCGGGCATCCTGGGCCGGCTCGTAGACATGGGTTGGACGCGCTCCAGCCTTGCGTTCTTCCATGGAATGCCGGAAGAGGAGGTGACCTCGCTGCTCCCCGGCATCGCTGAGGACTGGACTCAAGAAGAGTTCCTGTGGTTGCAGCGCGAGGCAAAACGACAGAGGACGAAACTGGACTTAGAAGACCATGTCTTCCTACAGCATCAAAAACTGCTGTACAAAGATCAAGCTTACATAGACAAGCAGCTTGACAAGACAGCCGCGGGGACGCAGAGGTCGGCTTGGTGTTGGCTAGGGCGCGTAAGTCTTTGCCGAGGGTCTCGTGGAAGACTCGAGCTGATCGTCTTCTTGGGCTTCAACCTACCCTTGAGCTTCGGCAAGATGTTGAAGAACGAGAACGGCATCGTTGGGTGAGGAAGCTCATCGAGCTCTTGGAGGTGACTGGGTTGGCGGAGATCAAGGAGAAGAAGCCAGAGAGGTACACTTACTTCGCCTCTCGAATTGCTATGGGACGCCGTGCATCCACCCTGCGACAACATGTCAGGTTGGGAAAGTTGCTGCAGGTCTTCATGGAGTCGGTGTTCGGCGTGCGGTGGCTCAGGCATGAAGGTGATTTAATTGCTTATATAGCCCTTCGTATGGAAGAACCATGCGGCAAGTCTGTGCCAGGGTCCGCAGTAGCGTTTCTCGAATTGGCTGCCGAAGTGCCCATGGAACAGCGGATCTCAGCTTCCCTTGCTCTCCAGCATTTTTTACTCGAGGCCGAGCGAAGCCAGGCATGGGCTCCTCGCCGCGTCATCAAGGCTGCTCGCTTCACGGTGGGGACGGTGAAAGAGCTTGAGGTGGCGGTCACAGACATCACCCTGCAGACTACAAGAGGATCTTCGCATGGGCGAAGTTGATCAAACTTTGGGGAGCACTCCGTTGTCACGACGTGGAGGGGTGCCACCCTCGACTTTGAGGTTCGATCCGGCGGTCGGGTTGGAAGGAGACATCATGAGGAGCAAAACAACCGGTACCGGCCGTCGCATTGAAATCATCCAGTTCCACGTGGGCAAGGACTGCTGGTTGGTCAACCGGGAGTGGATCCACACGGGATTGCAGCTCTTTGTGAGTTTGGCCAGGGACGCAAAGCACATGGATAAGGACTTCCTGCTGCCGGTTCCCAATGACAACCTGACGGGCTTCAGGCGGCGGATGATGAAGTACCAGGACGCGATGGCTTTCTCGAGGGCTCTTTGGTGCGAGCTCCCATCCAGGGTCAAGGACGCCCCATGAAATTGTTGCAGCCGGAGTCCAGCAGCTATTGGTCAGAGCATTCGGAAAGGATCGCCATGATCAGCTGGGCGGCTGCTGTGGGCGTCAGCAAAGAGGTCAGACGGCGTTGGGGAAGATGGGAGCCCTCCGTGGACGAGGACTATGTCACGACCACTCGGAAGATGATCCATGGCGCTCAGAGAGAGGTGGCACGGAAGATCCGAGGCCAGTCGGATGTGGTGGATGATCGTGCAGTGGTCAATAATTTCACCATCTGGCTCCAGGATGTGCACCACAAGACGGCCACCCAGGCCAATCGCGAAGGGCAATGCATTGGGCCTCCGAACTGGGGGTTGCCTCCGAGGCCATTTGGGGAGGGGGTGGACCAGATCAACCTGGAGGAGTCGCAAGAGGTCAGGAGCTCACCCGCGGCGCCATCGCCAGACCCGGGGTTCTACCCGGATGACTCCCCTACTGAGGTGTTTGAGGAGGAAGATCATGCAGACCTCCCGGAGGGAGAGCCGGCGTATCCTGTGGGGACCTATGTCTTGGCCATTGTGGGTCGTGGGAAACGCCGCACGCTACATGTTTCAGGAGGCTGCCATCGGCAACCGGGGGTCCACTTCAAGGAGTTCGTGATCGTCGGCATGGAAAGGCCAGAGCTGGATCCTAAGCAGGGCGAGGTGCTCTGCTCCACGTGTTTCTCGACACGTGCAAAGATGGCAGAAATCTTGGAGGCAGGCCCGGAGGGCGACGTGCCAAGTGATTCGGCATCCTCCTCAACTGACGAGGAGTCTGAAGCTGGAAGCTGATCAACCTTGTGTGAGTGAAAACTAGGTGTGAGGAGGTGCTGGGGGGGCAGGATGCCCAACCTGGTCCGGGTTCGTGGTTCGGTCGTTCGGTTTGTTGGTGGTGGGACGGAGCCCTTTGGATGGTTTTGGCTCAGGCCGGAGTGCCTACCCTGGAGGGGTCCGACCGGAGCGTCGCGTGCCATGACGGCCTTGCCCCTGACATGCAGGGTCTCCTTGACCAAAGGGGGGGTTGCAAAGGATTTGCAAGCAGTCAACGTCATAAAGGAGAACGTCAACATCCCTATGAGGTGCCGTTTGTGAAGGGCAAGGGCAAAGGAAAAGGAAAAGGAAAAGGGAAGAAGGGGAAGAGCAAGCAGAGGTCAGGAGGCCTCCATGGCAGCACGCCAGATGGACGCCAGATTTGCTTTGCCTTCAACAACGAAGGTTGCAGCGGCTCGTGCGGCAGAGTTCATGTGTGCCGCATCTGTTTGGATCCGGGCCACTTCGTGACTAGGCGCTCAGTCAGCGCCCGAAGAGACAAAGAAGAAGGAAGATGATGCACGTGAATTCAAAGTCCTTTATTTGTTTGCTGTGCCCCAAAGGGACACTGGCATTCCTGAGGTACTGCTGCGTTTAGCCGAATCGGCCACTGAGAACATCTCCGTCGAGACGACGGTCTTCGACATCCTGCGGGATCGCACGCAGGACCTCCTCAACGAAGACACACAGGCCGACATCCTGGACAAGCTGAGGGCCAGGCACTTTGACGCAGTGATCATGTCGCCACCGTGCGCCACTTGGTCTCGCGCACCTTGGGCTAATAGCCTGGGCCCCAAGCCTCGCGGTCAGCCAAGCATCCATGGGGTTTTCCCTGGTTGGAAGGAGCAAAGTTGAAAAAGATTCAGGCTAGCAATTCAATGGTGCAATTTTGTCTTCAATGCATCACCGTGTGCATGGAGAATTGCATTTTCTTTATTTTAGAGCATCCGGAGGATCTGGGTGCGACAAAGCGCTGGGGGCCTCACTCCAGACCAGCATCTATTTGGCAGCTCCTGCCCATTCAAAACTGGGTGCGAAGTGGTCAAGTTTTCAGTGGAGCTTTCTTTCAGTGTCACTTAGGGGCTCGGTCACAGAAACCGACCCGTCTTCTTTTCAACCTGCCTTCTTTGGTTCATGAACTTTGGGACGGATTGCCCACCTTTTCCAAGACCTTCGCGTACTTGGGCCCGCTCCCTCGGTCCTGTCGATGCGCTCGCTCGCATGTTATAGCCTCATTCGACGCCTGCCCAATGACCAATTCGCAACAGCAGGTGCAGCCGCCTACCCTCCAGCTATGGACCTTTGGTTAGCTCGACACCTCTTTCACTCTCTTCTCAAGCGGGGGGTCAAGAGGATCCATCAAGAGGTGGAAGCAGAAACTGGTGGTGGGCACGGGGCACAATTTGCTGGAGTTTCTGAAGGGCATCTCCCTGGAGTTCCTCAAGGGCAACTGGCAGAGCAAGAGCCAGAGCGGGCAAAGGGCGGAGTTCCCGAAAGGCGTCATCCTGGGGCTCCTAAAGGGCAAGTACAAGGGGAAGCGATTCCGGAAGAAGGAGGACATGGTGGCGTTCATAGAGGACATCCTCCTAAAGATCCTGAAGGGCACTTAGCGGCCTCTCCATGGACCCCTATGCAGGTCTGGTACAAGGGGAAGGCAAGAAGAGTGGTGGATGGGCTGGGAGGCCGAGGAGCTGGCTGGCATCTTCTGGCAGGCGGTGGACACATTCATGGAGCAGGCGGGAAAGAGGGGGCTACTGAAGCTTATCTCCGAGCTGGCGTTAGGAAGGCATTCCGAGTCCCCATTTCAGGAGATCGTGCCGGAGCTGAGGGGTCGCTTAGATGTCTGCGCCAGGCGCTTGGGGCAATACCCAGACCGGAAGGAAGGGGATGTCCACACAGAGATCGCTTACAGGAGGCTTCATGCGTGGGCCGCGCTGGTGGGCTTTCTCAATGATGTGGCCTCCACGGGAGTTCCCTTGGGCGTTCGTAATGAGATTCCATGGGTGCCTGCAGTCTATGACAGGAAGGGCCGAGGAGCATCAGACACGGCACCGGGTCGTTGGGAGGAGGATTGGCCGGGCGATCCCACTTTGCGGGAGAATTACGCCTCAGCGAAGGACCACATGGAGAAGGTGAAGAACCACGTCGAAAAGGACCTGGCGAAGGGTTGGATGATCAAGATGTCCAAGGAGGAGGCTGTGCGGCGATATGGAGAGGACCTGCAGGTGGCCTCATTGGGGGCGGTGCCTAAGGACAAGGAATGGGGCGACGTTCGAGTTGTACATGATGCCACCCATGGGCTGCACGTGAACACGCAGGTTGAGCAGCCCAACCAGATGACGTTTCCCCAATTCGACGACTTGGAGGCGGTGACCAAGGCTTTTAGAGATCAGGCGGATCCCCGGCGCCTCATGCTGGCCTTCGACATCAAGTCCGCTCACCGTCTAGCGCCGGTTCACTGTTCACCCTAGGGACTGGGGCTTGCAGGCCTGCCGGTTAGACCAGGAGGAGGAGATCTTAGTCAACACTCGTGGCACATTCGGTGTTGCCTCTGCTGCCTTTTGGTGGGGTCGGGTTGCAGGCCTGGCTTTCCGAGTCTTCCATCGGCTGCTGCCTCCGAGCGCCATCTTTTACCTGCTCCTGTTCGCTGACGACGGCCTGATGTTTTCGAGTGGTCATCAGTACCACAGGCACCTTCTGGGTTTGTTTGTGTTCCTGGAGGTGATGGAGATCCCATTGTCGTGGTCCAAGACACGAGGTGGGGTTCGAACAGAGTGGATTGGCTACACCATAGACCTCCAGCAGTGGAAGATCGGGATCAGCAATAAGAAGGTGCACCTGGGCCGCCAACACTGTAGCTCAAGGCCGAATGCTTGGGCGTGAGTTCAAACCTGGGCTGGGAAGGATGGGCTTCTTGGCAGGGATCTCGAAGAGATCGCGTCCCTTCCTAGCCCCCTTGTATGCAGCTTCATCTCAGGTGAAAGGAGGCAGCTTCTTCGAGTTGCACCTGGCGAGCAAATTGGCGATTAAGTTCTTCGAGGGCACGGTCGTTTCAGAGCCCATGAGGCCTCTCTCTTCACAGCCTGAGGTTCTGGGGGAGATCTTCAGAGTCGACGCCATGGCCGACAATGACGGGGTGGCCATAGGTGGCTGGGAAACCTACCTGTCCAATGATCCAAAGTTGGCTCGGTGGTTTCATGTCAAGCTTACGAGGAGCAGCGCACCGTTCCTCTATGTCAAGGGGGAACCATTTCGGACCATATCGTCGTCCGAGCTGCTGGCGGTCACGGTGGCCATCATGGCCTTTGCTCCGGGCCAAAATGGAGAAATGGCTCAGGACGTGTGGCGGTGACAGGCTTCACGGACAACCTGTCGAATGCCTACTTGATTGATAGGTTCCTGACCACAAAGTTCCCGGCCTCATTGGTACTCATGGAGCTGGCCAAGCAGCTCGACTTCTACAACTTGGACTTGGACCTGGCCTGGATTCCCCGGGAACAGAATGAACCCTCGGATGACCTTTCTAAAGGTCGGTACGAAAAGTTTGACCAGTTGAAGATGATAAAGATTGACTTCTCCGAGCTGAACTTCCTGGTCTTGAAAGACATGTTGGAGGCTGCCATGGCCATGGATAAGGAGATCCAAGAGAAGAAGGTTTCGAAACCGAAGGCAGAAAGGACGCCAGGTGATAAGACACCAGCGGATCAGAAGCTCCGTCTCCTTCAACCTTGGTGACTTCTAAAGCGGGAGGTGGTCACGGAACGGAGCACTCGATCCAAAAGAAGCGGAGAACCTGGCACGTGGAATCGAAAGCACGCGTCGATAGAATGTGCCTTCGGTTCGTAGCTGGAGGCTCAAAGAGCACCCACCACACCCACCCTAATACAGGGAGGTGGTCACGGAACGGAGCGCTCGATCCAAAAGAAGCGGAGAACCTGGCGCAATGACTTCTCTTTGTGGTGCGACGTGGGCATTCTTTGTTGCTTCTTGAATCTGAGGCCAAGATTGATCGTTTGCCTGAGTTCGACCTAGAAGATGCTGACATGCACTGGGGGCTACGATGATGGTTGTTGGGGCGCATAGCATACATAGTCGTAGTGGTGTGTGTATTTGTGTATGTGCATAATTGCGTATATAGCGAGTACATATGAATACAAGTACCTACAGTTCGTCGTGATGGCAACGATCGCATGTTCTGCAGTGGATTTAGCAACTTTGGTTTTGCTTGAAGCTGATTCCACTCATGTGCAAGGACAAGTTGATGACCAAGTGGCATGCCATGTTGGCACCGGTTCTTGATCGACTCATTTCCTCTGCCTCTGGAAAGAGTCTTGGCCGACTGCTGCACCATCAACCGACCTGCCACCCCTTCAACGACTGCATGAAAGGACTGGTCCCAAAAGTGTCCAAGCCAAAGACGGAATACTCCAAACCGCAAGGGAAGTGATCATTGGAACAGTCGTACATGTGCAGTAGTACTCTTGAAGCCCTTCAACTGAAGGAATTGGTCTTCTTGACATCACTGCCGCCCGAGAAAGTATGATGAACCTTTAATAGTCTTCAATATATCTAGTTATGTATCTATATATATATAAATATGTGTGTGTGAGGTATGGCCCTTTGTCGCAACATGTCGCAACTATGTTGTATCGTGTTGGTGATGTTCGCTTGCTTGTGCGGGATGCTTGTGTAAATGCTCATGGGAACCATCCTAAAACCCGCCGCATACCACAATTTAGTAGCACAATGCTTTTGATTGAAAGCATGTGGTCTGAGACCTGCATTGCGCAAGGTTCGTGAGGTCTTTTCGCAAAGTGTTCAACTGAGATCGATTGAACGAAAACTGTAGTTTTACTGTGTTCATGCAAGAGACGCGCGGGGTTTCCCCAAGGCCAAATTAAGAGTAGCTTTTGGATGCTTTTGGGAAAGAGTGTTCGGCATATCACGAAAGCTAGCATGCTAGCTGAGTTCTTCTTTGCTTTAGCAATGTTGTGGTGGGAGGGGCTGCGTGCCTTAAAGATTGATATATCAAGCTAACCCCCCCCCCCCGCGGTTCAACTCCCAGCTGCGCCGTGTAGGGGGTTGGTTGAACGTGTGAACGTGGTTGGTTGGGTGTAACGGTGGCTTGGTGTAAAGGGTGCTGCTGCTGCTGCCGCTCTGCTGCTTGCTGCTGCTGTTTGCTGCTGCCGCTGGTTGCCGCTTTTGTAGCTGCTGCTTTGCTACTTGTTGCGGCTTGGCGCTGCTGCTGCTGCTGTTGCTGACGACGCCGCTGCTACTGCTGCTTGCTGCTTGCTGCTGCTGCTTGCTGCTTGCTGCCGGTGGTGCTTGCTGCCGGTGGTGCTGCTGCTGCTGCGGCTTGATGCTGCGCTGCTGCTGCGTGGTGCTGCTGGCTGGCTGCTGGTTGGTGGTTGCTGCTGGCTGCTGGCTGCAGGCGGCTGCTGCTGCTGCTGCTGGCTGCTGCTTGCTGCATAGGACTTGTACTTCACCGTTACAAGTTGTTTACCCCTATTTCTAACCTAATGCATGCATAAGCGGGTGGTAAATTTACCCCCCAGGCTTGCTATAACCATACACCGGCTATTTCCTCAAGACACTCTATTCTTGATACCTTTTACCAGTGCTTATCCTACACTACGGACGCCCTAGTGTATGCACAGTCCTTGT